TCAGGAAGCTTTTGAAGCCTTGAAAAAGCTGTTCACCTTGGCACCCATTCTGGGTCACCCAGACGCCGCCCTACCCTACATCTTAGAGGTAGATGCATCGGAGAATGCAGTAGGTTCCATTCTTTCCCAGCGGAAAGGCACCAAGGAATTGCTCCATCCTGTGGCATTTTTCTCACGGAAGCTTACCCCCGCGGAGAAAAAACTATGATATCGGTGATCGAGAACTACTGGTGATCAAAACGGTGTTAGAGGAATGGAGGTACCTGCTGGAAGGCGCCGTGCACCCCATCTTGATATTTACAGATCACAAAAATCTGGAATACCTGAGGACCGCCAAGCGTTTACGCCCACGACAGGCAAGATGGGCATTATTCTTTTCGAGATTTAATTTCCACATCACGTACAGGCCTGGATCAAAGAACACAAAGCCAGATGCGTTATCACGTATGTACGAGGACGCCAAGGAGATCCCAGTGCCCGACACTATCCTGTCCTCAGGTAACTTCTTGGCCCTTCAGTCAGACCTTCGTTCCAAGATAATGGAGGCATCCACAACCGTATCAACCCCAGTCGGAGGGCCCCTCCAGAACAAGGGGGGACTCCTATGGAGGGAAGATCGGATTGTGGTGCCGGAGGAAGCCCGAACCCTGGTCTTGGGACATTGCCATGACCACCCGATGGCGGGGCACTTTGGCCCAGGAAAGACCCTGAAGCTTCTCCGATGCTCCTTCTGGTGGCCGGACATGGCTAAAGATTGTAAGGGCTATGTAAGATCCTGTATCACCTGCCAGAAGAACAAGCCATCAAGGAACAAAGTTTGGGGTCTGCTGCGGCCTTTACCGATTCCTGAACGACCTTGGCAAAGAATCTCGCTAGATTTTATAGTCGAGCTTCCGCCATCGCTAGACCACACGGCAATCCTTGTGGTCGTGGACCGCTTATCCAAAATGGCCCACTTCATTCCGTTGAAGAAAACTCCCTGGAAGGGCTATGGCCCTGAGGACAATTCTTGGGAACCAGCCCATAATGTCCATGCACCCAGACTTGTCCGGAGGTTTTTTCGCAATCACCCCCTGGAGAGATCGGGTGGGCATCCGGAGGTTGCCCGTAGGGGGGGGGGCAATGTCAGGGATCTCCTCGATCCCCGCCGCGATGGTCCTGGCGCAGGCGCAGTGCGCCGCCCTGTGCAGGGACACAGGCACTAGGTCCGGGCCGGCCGCGGCGTTCGAGTTCGCGCATGCGCAGTAGAAGCCGCGGCCGCCCGCTGGGCACCAATGGCAGCGCAGGGCGGGATATTTAAATTGCCCTGAGCTGTCATTCAGTGCCTTCTGGTCTTTCCTGCATCCTGTGAATCTGTGAACCTGTGCCCTGTAAGTTATTGACCCGGATTGTACCTGACCGTGCTAATTTCTCCTGTCCTGACCCTTGCTTTGCCTGACCTCTCTCCTGGATGCCCCCTATTGGATTTGACCTGCTGTTGGTGACCTGGCGTGTGACCCGACCATTCTCTGCCCGCTGCCTTGTACCTTACCGTCCTCTCTGTTACCGACCCATCCATCCATCCGTCCATCCCTCGCAGTGGGGTCTCCTGACCTCCTCATATCAGACTCTTTCCCGTGGGAGCCCTTGGCGCATACCACTACCACTGACGGACGTACCCAGTAGCCACGACCTGGTCTCGGGGTGCTCCAAGTCCATCCCCACCATCAGGGGCCCTGGTGAACAAGCACCCTGGGACTTAGATTCCGTGCGCTGGGGGTGCCTATCCAGTGGAGTGCTAGTGGTACCGCCGGGCGGTCCCTTACACCTCCAGGTTTCACTGAACTCTGTGCTCTAGCTGTGCATTGTGGGACTTCAGTTCTCTGTCCCCTACCTTCTGCTGCTGAGTAAAAACTCTTGATCTCTGTAGTTTGAACAGATGTAGAGGAGAGAGAGCTACAGATAAATATGTACAACTTATACAGAAGGATTTGTTTTATTTTTTGTATCTCCTGATGCTAGTCACTTCACTGGGTATATGTAAGGGTTTACAACTACTTTAAACCTGCAAACCTGTACATAACTCGGCATATCTTAAAAGTTGCAATCATCCAGGGGCTGCTTGAGCAGCTTCCCCTCCACACACTTATCACAGGGGGTTGATCACTCAGCACCTCCCCCATTTATACACTGCCTTGTCCATGCTACACTTAGAGTCTTGATCATCCAGGGGCTGCTTTAGCAGCTTCCCCTCCACACACTTATCACAGGGGGTTGATAATTCGGCACCTCCCCCATTTATAGACTGCATTGTCCATGCTACACGTAGAGTCTTAATCATCCAGGGGCTGCTCATGCAGCTTCCCCTCCACACACATATTACAGGGGGTCGATCATTCGGCACCTCCGCCATTCATAGACTGCCTTGTATTGTATTCTCTGATTGGATGAGGTGGAGGTGAAAATAATGTCACAACAACCTTTATTCAGTGTGACGAGGAAAAGCCACTGGAGCAGAACCCACAAGATCACAGCTATAACTGTGTGTAGCATGGACTACTAGAGTTTTCAGCATTCCCAGTGACCCTCCGGATATCAGATCAGATGAGAGGAGGGAAGCCGGCAACATTACAGGGGTGGGGGCAGCAGGGGGAAATGTATGGTGTACAGGGTGAGAGATGGCGGCACCGGGTTATAATGTGGAGATGAATGGAAATTAGAGCAATCAGTTTCAACACAGGAGAGGGCTTGCTACAAGTGTGGGGAAAACACAACTCTGGAATTCTGCTTTACAGTTTTTAATATAGTTATAAAGCATTAAACGGGCTTTAAAATAAACTATCACTGACCTCTTTATCTGCTTGTACTGTGACATGAAAAGGTCAAAAACCTTTCAGTAGCTGTTCCTCCATCCCCTTCCCAAAATACTTGTCCTACATCAATCCAGCATTGTGCCCATCTCCAGGTCTATTGTCCTCTTCCCCCTTGGCTGAGAGCAGTGGAGACCATTGGCTCATGCTGCTGTCAGTCAAACCTTTCCTGGCTGTACAGGTGGTTCTTGCTCTGGGGGCTGGTGAGGCCTCCTTTCTAGCGTCCTGCCTGTAGATAGTCCCCTTCCCACTATGTCCCCTCCCAGGCTCCTGCATCTCAGCTTCCTTGCATCTTCCAACTGAACTATGCTGCTGAGCAGGCTCAGACACTTTTAAGGGCGGTTCTTACATCATACCAAGCCTCCTGCTTGGGGACTGGTCAGGATCCTTCAGAAGTGCAGACCAGCCCCTCCTCATCCCCCGTCCACTGCTTCTAGAATCATCTCCAAGATTCTGGAGCAGGGGGAGGTATCAAGGAACTGATCTGCAGAGCCTCTCAGCCCTGACCTGAATTTGACCCAGCTGACTATTGCCCAGGCTGATACTCAGCCTTCTTACTAAAACAAATCAGCTAGCTCACCCTAGCTAACTAGTAGGGTGCTACATATGTATTTAGATTTTATTACACTTTTTTTTATTTTTTAATTTAAATGTATTGCTATCACAAGGGATGAACAGGTCCCTTGTGATAGCTTTGTGCAGTGACAGGTACTCTTTATCTTTTATCTATTAGACCCCCAATGTCTCCCCTGCCCTTCAGAGCATCTGATCAGACACAGACCATGTTTGATCAGATGCTACCCTGGCTGCACTGGCCAGGGAATGATGATACTGAAACTAGAAGTGACGAAATCCTCGGTGCTTCCAACTTCATTAGTCACAGAGGAGGTAGGGGAACAGATCTACCTCCATCTTCTCTGTGAGCAGCTGGTCTGTACACTTACAGGTGTCCCCGGCTCCCCAGTGGAATGGGAGACCTCGGGAATGGCATGGGCAGTGGTGGGCAACAGCGCCTTCCGAGCACTGTAAAAGTGATTGGGGCAGCTATAAAGCAGCTAGATCACTTTTACTGGAGAGCCAATTGTCGGCTCTAAAATATGGTACCAAGAGTTGCAGCCATGATCTTGGTATAGCTGCTTCCTGTCCAGGTCATATACTGTATATAGATGTGTGTGTATATATATATATCCTCAAGACAAGTCAGCAATGGTACCTCCTATGTATATTTATAATGTATATGAAGGTTTGAGAATAAAAAAAAAAAGCCATTTATCTGGATGAATAGTCAAATGAATTCACTTAAAGCTGAACTCAATCAACACAGCTCGGTAATCATTATGACATTATTAAATTTTTTTTTTTATGAATATAAGTAGTGTAAGTATCAGCCTCTTACAGTCCTGACTCCCTGTACAGCAAGGGTGAAGGACGAAGCAGTATAAAGAGGCAAGGAGCAGATAGGAGGAGCAAGCAGAGTGACAGATAGAGCTTATTGCTACACTGTTTCTCTTTTCACTGTCCAATCACAGGCTGGGGGGGTGGGTCCAGGATGACCTGGGCTCAGAGGAAGTAGATCGATTAATGCTGATCACCAGACTGAGGACATCTAGTGGTCAGGAAAGGGTACTGCAGGAAAATCTCTGAAATGAGGATGAATATTGCAGCAATAGCTGGTTTGGGTATTTTTAATGGGTTAATGATTTTTTATCTTACCATTTTGGCCAGAGTTCTACCTTAATAAGTAAGCTGAAAGTAATGTGCAAAGGTACTTGCTGCAAGTGAACTGACCAACTAGTAGATGTCAGATATCTCACAACTGGTTTATCTATTAGCAACTCAAGCCAGGTATCTTTATTGTACCCTTCCTCAGGCTTCGTCACAAAGCTTCTCCTTTTGCACCGCAAGCAACAGGAACGGAAAGGGCAGTTGCCCACAAGAAGCATGGCCGCCAAAACATGTCGCTGGATTATTATATACCTCTGTCGCCGGCAATGTATTGTAGGAGGTCACGTGCAGAAGATATGCCAATCTGAATCTAGGTGCCCTAAGCTCCAACCAATGGAGAGGCGCTGTTTCGGCTCATTGATAGGTGTGGGCGGGGATAGCTGTGACGTCAGGCAGCGTGTGGTGTGTGTGTGGAAGGTGAGCGGAATGGATGAAGAGGAGGGAGGATCGGAGGAGGCCGCACTGCTCAGGCAACATCGGAAGGAGAAGAAGGATGTGCAGGGTGAGGGATCCTAGGATTAGTCCGCTCCACATTGCTGACATTATCCTATACCCGCAGAATGGGATGGAGTGCGCATGTCTGCCTCCGCCCGGAAGTTCTGTACATGTCATGGTGTTTCTTAAAGGGGAACTCCACCCTCCCAATGAAAGTCTTAGTCCTGTCCCCGCTTACTGCACTGCATTGTTATGCTGGATTCATAGACTTACATACCCAGAGGGTCCAGCCTTGTTCACATGGGGCCAATACATGTGTAACCTGTTCAGGGATGGAGGAGGGTTCCATGCATCCCCAATCTGGCAGTACCATTGTGACTTCCATGTTGGTGCACAGTACCTAATGCAGCCTGGGTGTGTGCAGGACTGTGTATGTGCACAGATGCCATATTGGGAGCAATGACTGTGTCTGCTCAGCCACTGCATCACAATAGATAACATTGGGACTGGTCGGGGATGCATCGAACATCTGTACACCCCAGTGTTGGTAAATATAGTATAGCCCTGAATGGGACACGCATGTAATTGCTGCCCCCCCAGGGTAATGAGGCCTTACAACACTCCCCTACTTCAGGTTTCATTCCACACCATCCACATTCACTGGCAACTGCTATTCACATGGTACAGATGATCTGTTATTGGTCCTGTATGTACCATGTGATCACTGTGACCAATTACCGCTAGCAACACAGTTGTAACAATGCATGGCATGAATTAAAGCCATTCATTGTTTAACTGGTTCCCAACTGCGCTACAGCCAAAGGACGGCTACAGCGCGGTTGTGAAATCCTTGGATGATGTCATTCCAGAACACGCCCCCTGCGCACCCCCATCGGCACGCACCCCACACCGCTGGTGATCGCTGTGTCCTACAGACACAGCTGATCACGGGGTACAGTAAACGGCCAATCACGGCGGCCTTTTACCACGTGTTCAGCTGTTTCCAATGACACCGTGATCACCGGGTAAATGCAGTTGCCGGTTATCGGCTGCACTTTCCTCACACTGTCACAGCGTAAGGAAAGTACTGCCGAGAACCGGCAATTGTCAGCGAAGGGATTGGCACCGATCATCAGTGCCACCCACCTGTGCCACCCTCCTGTGCCCTGCAGTGCCGCCTATCAGTGCCCATCAGTGCTGCCTATCCGTGCCACCTCATCAGTGCTGCCTATCTGTGCCCATCAGTGCTGCCTATCCGTGCCACCTCATCAGTGCTACCTATCTGTGCCACCTCATCAGTGCTGCCTATCTGTGCCCATCAGTGCTGCCTATCAGTGCAGCCTCATCAGCACACATCAGTGCAGCCTCATCAGCACACATCAGTGAAAGAGAAAAATTACCTGTTTGTAAAATTTTATAATAGATACAAAGATAAACTTTTTCAAATGTTTTGCTATTTTTTTGTTTATAGCGCAAAACATAAAACACTCAGCGTCAATTAAATACCACCAAAAGAAAGCTCTATTTGTGTGAAAAAAATCATAACAATTTCATATGGGTACAGTGTTGCATGACCGCACAATTGTCATTCAAAGTGCGATAGCACTGAATGCTGAAAATTGGCCTGGACAGGAAGGGGGTAAAAGTGCCCGGTAGGCAAGTGGTTAACCACTTGCCTTCCAGAGGATTTCCCCCCCCCCCCCCCCCCCCGACCTGACCTGATTTTTTTTGCAATATGGCACTGCGTTACGTTAACTGACAATTGCACGGTCATGCAACACTGCACCCAAATTAAATTTACATCATTTTTTTCCCACAAATAGAGCTTTCTTTTGGTGGTATTTGATCGCCTGTGCAATTTTTATTTTTTGTGCTATAAAAAAAAAAGTCCAACAATTTTGAGAAAAAAAACAATACATGTACCTCATACTCATTCACATGGGGGGATGGGATCTGGGGGCCCCCTTGTGAAAGGGGGCTTCTAGATCCCGATAAGCCCACTGCCCGCAGACCCTCACAACCACCAGCCAGGTTTGTGGGGAAGAGGACTTGCCCCCCCCCCCCCCCCCCGTTCCTGACCTGCTGGGTTGCATGCCCGGATAAGGGTCTGGTATGGATTTTGGGGGGGACCCCCACGCCATTTTTTTTTTTTTTTACAAATTTTGTTGTGGGAGTTCCCCTCAAAATCCATACTAGACCCGAAGGGCTTGGTAAGGATAAGAGGGGGGGCCCCACACCGTTTTTTTATTTTTTAAGGTGCCGGTTTTAAAATGTAATTACCACTTTCTTTTTTTCTTCCCTATAGCTCAGAAATTCAGCTTTCATTTTCCCCCAGCTAAAAGAAAGAACATTTTCTTTTAGTTTATTTCCAAGTTAAGAGAAACAATGTTTCCTTTTAGTTTCTTAAAAGAAACAAAGTTTCTGTTAACTCCAGGGAAAGTGACAGCTAATTCTGTGAGCTATAGCGAAGAGAAAAAAAAAAAAGCCGGCAATTGCATTTAAAAACCAGCACTAACATACACCTCGTATTGTGAAAAAAATTCAGAAACTGAGGCATTATTTTCAATGGATTTTCATTCGTAAACCAAAAATGACGTTAACGGAGGCATTTGTAAATCAAGGTATTACTGTACTTCTGTAAATTAAAGCACACAGAAATATTATGAAACTGAAAACATTCTAGTGTGCTTTCATTCACTGCGCGATCTCACTCTGGTGAAATGTTACAATTTATTTTCTTTCCTAAACTCAGGGCAGAACATTTCCACTCTGATACATTGTATATTTTTCACTTAGTGGCCATTGCTAAAATACTGACTTCCTACTGGCAGGTGATAAATAACCAATGTGTGTGTTCTTTAGTGATTTTACTTTAAAGAATAAATTCACCTTTGGACCAAACATTATGAATGCACATTTTTTTGCAGGTAAAAAAATGTGCATTTATTATTTCTGGTTGCAGGAGCCTGTAAATGATTGCACCAGTGAACAGATCGCTGGTGTTATGCAGGTCTCCTGCAGACCTATCAGTATACCTGCTTGCCCGTACAGGATGTACAGACAAGCCGATATACTGACAGGAAGAATCCATGAACTACCACAGAGCTTCCACAGCACATTCACTGATCACTACAAGCCGAAAGCCACTAAGGCTGTCGGGACTTGTAGTTCATTCATTCACAGAACACTGTGAATTAATGACGTGGCCGTGTGGGCGGAGCCCCGCACAGCCACACTGTTTTTAAAAAGTGACAGCTAGTATGGGGAACTTCTCCCTGTACTTCTGTCACGGGGAGGGGGGATCAGGCAGTGGCTGCAGCATTGGGAACATGTTAGAAGTTCCACCCTAAAAACGGGTGGAACATGTAACATGTTCCCAAAGGTGAACCTATCCTTGAAAGATTTTTTTTTTTTAATACTTAGAATTGACTCTTATTATCTCATGCAATATTTCCTTAAAAATGGGTCATGTGACCTTCATATCCAATGCAAAATCCTTTAATGAATTGACCCCGTAGTCTGCCTATTGCTGGCATTGTACCTTTCAGACTGCTCAGTGTATCCCTCAGACTGCTCAGTGTTCCAGAGCTGGTTCTCCTTTGGGTCATTCAAATCACTTTGTCGGAACCCAGAAACTGCAGCCGTGGCTCACAGTACTGCACTAAATGGCACTTGCATGTGATTACATGAGTGCTATAAGGACTGTCTGAAGTGAAGCACACCATGCTCATTACATGACCATCTGGAAAAAAAAGTTATGTATACTACAAAAGTGCTAAAAACACATTGGATTGGAGGGGGAGCTGCAGTCAGGCTTGAGCAGATACATGATGCTGAATGAAAGCCTTGGAAAGCTGTATGTCTGTATCTGTAAGCCTTTATCTGTAACATGCTGATTTCTTAAGTGGGATAAGTTTTGTAATTTGTACTGCTGTTTATTTATGAAGCCAAAATCCAGTGCATGAAAAATGCCGTGCCTAAAAATGACAAGAAAAGAAGAAAACAGCTAACAGAAGATATCGCTAAGCTGGAAGCTGAACTGGATGAAAAACACAAACAAGAGCTTGCAACCTTGGTACAGAAGGAGTCTACCCAGACAGAGGTAGGTATGAGTTATGGTCAGGGTGGTGTGCACCTGAGAGAAAAGTCAATATATTTTATTATTATTATTATTATTATTATTATTATACAGTATTTATAAAGCACCAACAGTTCGCTCAGCGCTGTACATTACAAAGGGAGAGACAGAACATGTGACAGTACGAAAACAATACAGTGTGATACACGAGGGGTTTGAGGGTCCTGCTCTTTCGAGCTTACAATCTAGCAGGGAGGGGATAGTGGTACAGGAGGAAATTGCTGTGGGGAATTCAGTGGCAGGAAGAGTGGAGGAGGTCGGCAATTAACGGGGTGGGGTAGACTTCCCTGAAGAGGTGGGTTTTCAGGGTGCGCCTAAATGAGAGGAGAGTAGGTGATAGTCTGATGGATTGGGGTAGGGAGTTCCATAGGATAGGTGATGTCCTGGAGAAATCCTGGAGGCGGGCATGGGAGGAGGAGACCAGGGAACTAGAGAGAAGGAGGTCTTGAGAGGAGTGGAGTGTGCGTGTTGGGTGGTACTTGGATATTAGGTCGGTGATGTAGTTTGGGACAGTATGATGGACAGCTTTGTATGTCAGTGTTAGGATTTTGAATTTGATCCGTTGCGCAATTGGAAGCCAGTGGAGGGATTGGCAGAGGGGGTGGCGGAAATGGAGCGGTTGGTGAGGTGAATGAGTCTGGCTGCCGTGTTCAGGATTGACTGAAGCGGGGATAGCCTGTGGCGAGGCAGGCCAGTGAGGAGGGAGTTGCAGTAGTCGAGTCGTGATATGATGAGGGAGTGGATGAGCTGTTTAGTGGTTTCTGGGTTAGGAACGTGCAGATTTTGGCGATGTTGCGGAGGTGGAGTATGCATGAGTTTGTTAGTGATTGGACTTGGGGCTGGAAGGATAGATTGGAGTCCAGAATGACACCAAGTACTCTGGCCTGCGGGGCGGGCCTGATAGTGGCATTGTTGGATGTGATGGAGAAGTCAGTGGGGGGTGGTATGCGGGCTGGGGGGAAGACTAGGAGCTCGGTTTTGGAGAGGTTCAGTTTAAGGAAGTGGAGTGACATCCAGTCTGATATGTCGTTTAGTAGGTTTGTGATTCGGGTGGCGACTGAGGGGGTGCGGCGAGGGGTAGAGAGATAGATTTGTGTGTCATCGGCATAGAGGTGGTAGTTGAAGCCGTGAGAGTGTATGAGTTGGCCAAGGGAGGAGGTGTAGATGAAGAAGAGAAGGGGCCCGAGGACGGAGCCTTGAGGGACCCCAACAGAGAGGGGGAGTGAGGGGGAGGTGGTAGCGTTATAGTTAATGCTGAAGGAGCGTTGTGATAGGTAGGACGAGAGCCAAGAGAGAGCAGAATCTCTGAGACCGAGGGAGTGTAGTTTTTTTTTGAGGAGGGGGTGGTCGACTGTGTCGAAGGCAGTGGAGAGGTCGAGGAATAGGAGCACTGAATAGTGGCCATTAGCTTTGATGGTTAGAAGGTCGTTGGAGAGTTTGAGTAAGGCAGTTTCGGTGGAGTGTAGGGGACGGAAGCCGGACTGTAGTGGATCCAGAAGGCTGTTGTCATTGAGGTGAGAGCTTAGGCGATTGTCGACTAAGCGCTCGAGGAGTTTGGATGAGAATGGGAGCAGGGAGATGGGTCTGAGGTTGCTGGAATCCAGGGAGGGCTTTTTAAGTATGAGAATGATGTGCGCGTGCTTCAGAGGGGAGGGGAATGCGCCGGAAGAGAGGGAGAGATTAAAGATTAGGATGGAGGGGAAGGAGGTTGTAGGAGTTGTGAGGGGGCAGGTGGTGAGACAGGCATCAGAAAAGACCTCGATGAACTCCTCGATATGCTGGGTAAAATGGAGAGAACGTGGAATATAAGTGATAACTTTTGTTGAGGGAAAAAAAAACATAACCAACATAGTAAAGCGTTATTAATCAAGAATGTGTGAAAGGTGTAGTTTGCGTTAGAAGACGCAAGACATACTTTTGGAGGAACTGCATTATCCTGCTCCAAATGTCTTTACTGCATTAAAATTCCTGCCTGTTTGCCCATTTTTCTCAGTTTAGCTAAAGTTCCATTTTAAGGGATAAAGCTGGCCATACGTGGATCAAAATTTTAATCCATCTATGGCCAATCCTGTTCATGAGATGTCAATATATCAATCAACTTTTTGTGAATGATCCTGCTGGAGCAGGATTCAGCCAAGGGGAGTCCCGCTGTCAAAATACAATGACGCGCGGAGGATTTCCATCCAGATAGAATGTGTAGATGGGGGAATTGGATCAATTTTTTTTGTTCAACCCGCTGATTGTATAGAAAAATAAACTGATCCATGTATAGCCCTGGCTAAAAGTTTTAAGAATGGCACAAATATAAACTTACCTGCAAGGAAACATGTGCAGTCATCATTGCTTTGCACAAAAAGGGATTCACAGGCAAGGATATTACTGCTACTAAGATTGCACCTAAATCAACCATTTATCGGATCATCAAGAACTTCAAGGAGAGAGGTTCAATTGTTGTGACGAAGGCTTCAGGGCGCCCAAGAAAGTCCATAAAGCGTCCGGACCATCTTCTGAAGTTGATTCAGCTGTGGGATCGGGGCACCACCAGTGCAGAGCATGCTCAGGAAAGGTAGCAGGCAGGTATGAGAACATCTGCACGCACAATGAAGTGAAGAATTTTGGAGGATAGCCTGGTGTCAAGAAGGGCAGCAAAGAAGCCACTTCTCTCCAGGAAAACATCAGGCACAGACTGATATTCTGCAAAGGTACAGGGACTGGACTGCTGAGGACTGGGGTAAAGTCATTTTCTCTGATGAATCTATGTTCCAATTGTGTGAGGCATCTGGAAAAAACCTTGTCTGGAGAAGAAAAGGTGAGCGTTACAATCAATCCTGTGTCATGCCAACAGTAAAGCATCCTTAGAACCATTCATGTGTGGGGTTGCTTCTCAGCCATAGGAGGGGAGTTCACTCACAATATTGCCATGAATAAAGAATGGTACAAAAACATCCTTTAAGAGGAACTTCTCCCAACAATCCAAGAAACGTTTGGTGATGAACAATGCCTTTTCCAGCATGATGGAGCACCTTGCCATAAGGCAAAAGTGATAAGGAAGTGGCTTGGGGAACAAAACATTGAAATTTTGGGTCCATGGCCAGGAAACTTAATCCCATTGAAAACTTGTGGTCAATCGTCCAAGAGGCAGGTGATCAGAAAACCCCCCTCCCCCCAAAAAATTCTGACAAACTACAAACATTAATTATGCAAGAATGGGCTGCCATCAGTCAGGATGTGGCTCAGAAGTTGATTGACAGCATGCCAGAGAGAATTGCAGAGGTCCTGGGGAAAAAAAAGTGCAAATATTGACTCTTAACATTTGCAAATATAAACTTAATGTAATGCTTGTAATTATCTTCAGTATATCATAGTAACATCTGACAAAAAGATCTAAAAACATCAAAGCAGCAGACTTTGTAAAAATTAATATTTGTGTCATTCTCAAAACTTTTGGCCAGCTTAACTGTACCTTTAAAAAAAGTTTATAGTACCTGAATAGTTAATTGAAAGTTTCAATAGAGAAACATATGTTTAACCACCACAACCAATTTTTTTTTTTTGGACCACGTAGCCTGTGTCCTCTGTTTACAGGTCTGAACATTGTCACATGAGGGTGGGTGACACTATCAACCTTGTGATATCATTCAACTAGAGGTGTACCTAGTGTTTGACTCCGGGTGGAGTGGAACATGCAGAAAGCATGTGCAAGTGGGGTCAGGTTGTGGGCTGGCAGAAGTTACTTTGCATGTGATCCCCACTGCTGCTTATATGTACATTTTCTTCCTTTCCTCCCTTGCTTGGTTTGTATATGAGAGTGCCCGGATATTGTCCTGTGAATGCTTTTTTTGTTTTTTGTTTTGTTTAATGTTCTATTCATTTTTAGATCAAAAGTGTCACTAACGGGGTCACGGGCTTAGATCTTGGAGCTGATGTGCCTGCTCAGCAACCTCGTGTGTCTAAAGCACAAAAAGAGACGGGTAAGAAGACATTCGTCATTTTCTGTATGATTCGCTCTAGCATGAGGCTGACCTGATACTCCATAGAATCTAATGTCAGCATGGTGCAAGGTCTGTGCTGGAATAACCGGAGAATGTTTTCTTTTTTTATAGATTTTATTGTTGCCAGACAAAAGAAAAGACACACATATCGCACAAATTTTAGGTACAAAGCCAGAGCCATAAAAGTAATATTACACAGAACAAGACGATAACGCTCTTAGAAATAACAAACCGTTCAGCCGACATTGTGACAGTTCAATGCTCAGAAAGGAGCTCATAGCTCAGGTATACATTTCAGTCTAGCAGACATTATTAAAATTGAACCCTCATCTAAACCAAGAGTAGATGTTAACAGAAAACGCAAGAAAAACAATGTGTATAGGAACTATACATACAGTAGGTCCTAGAAACGTAATTGCCAGTCTGATATTCTGCAGATGAACCCTTTCACTCCCTCTAACCCACATCATACATACTCCAATCAGATGATTCCTCATCCAAAGTTACAAACCAGAGAACTTTACATGACATGTGGAACAGTTATCTGCAGAAACATATAACGCATATACTCCAATGAGCAGATTTCCTGCTGGAAGAGGTATTCCTGATATCTCTGCTGTACCATTTACTTGTATGAAAACGTTTACTGCTCTCTTTGCATTGTTTCCTTTGTGTGGAATCCTTGGTGTTCCTGTCAGTCCCTCTACTTTCCTATTAAAAACTGACCATACTAAGCAGGAGAGCACAGCATGGTCAGAATGATTGAACTTGTCCTAACCAACCCCCCTCCCCCCACACACAGTCTTTCATTGGGAAGATCAGTGTGCTGCTCTTTCTCATTCCTGAGCTCCTTATGCAGCTGAGAACAGAGGGTATGTGATCACTTATAAAAGGGAAAAGGGTTTTACTTTTTCTTTTTTGTTCTTTTTTTTATATCTAAACAAAAATGTTTTGCCTTTCATTTCTATTTTAATCTGAATGGGTTATTTTACAAGGTGAGGGTTTACAATTACTTTAAGGTAAAAAGAGCAAAAATACAGACTATATTGCAATGACTGCAATAGGTAGGGAGATCTCTGAACTCAGGTGGGATGATCTTACCAAGTGGTATAGAATAGAGATGCACTCTGCCAACATCTACACAAATCCAATATGTAAACTTTAGCTACAAGTTCCATTTTAATTTTGCTGAATTTCATGTCTTCGAATACATATAGATCATTAGTGCTCATACATGCATATTTCATTACCAGTATGCAAAATTAGACTTTTTGGGAGCTAGGAGTTTGCTGCATGATCCTAAAAGTGATGTCCAGCAACCCATTGATCGAGATCTACCAGTCAATTACAGGCATGTGGCAGGTATTTCGCAACCATCCTTGCTGTGGCACCAGCTCCTGATTCCGCCTGACACCTCTCAGACTTCAGATAACAGCAGAAAATGTGAAGGCAGAGCCAAGGAAAGTCCTATGTTCCTCCTCATCTCTGATGTGTCATATGACACAGTTGAGGGGAGACATGGGAGGACACACTGCTATACCTTGTACAGTGTACTATATACTACTGACCCCCTGCACTCTGCTGTACATACTCCGACCCCTGGACTGAATTACTGCTTACTCTTGACCTCTTCTTACCTTCCTTACTTTCTTAATAGGGTCATCTTCTGGAAAAGCATACTGCACCCTGGTGATCTTTGATTTTTTCCATGTTGTTCAGGTAGATCACTAGATCTTCAGGGTTGCTTACCCCTGTCTTAATGGTAATGTATAGCCAAAACCTTTTTTTTTTGGATGAAGTAGAGAAATTTAGAACCTTTTAAAGTATGTTTTGCTTTCTGTATCCCGACAAAGACTGTTCACCCTCTCTGTTTTGTCCTGGTGATCATTGTTGCTGAGACAGAAAGTGATGGGAAATTCAAAATGTTAGCGTTGTCAGAACAAGAGCTGAGGGTAAATCCTCCAATGAGGACATCTGTTTTTGTGACACCTGTTTAAAAGAGGAATTTCCCTCACTTTGTAGAGACTTTTCAGTTATTTTTCTGGGACAGGAAGTAAAGGGAAATCATATGAAGGAAAAATTAAACTTGCTTACCCCCTCCCTACTCCTTGGCTATACATGAACTTTAAAGGATAGGTATGCTTGTAAAGTTCTGCTTTAAAACAGACCTTGCAGTAAAATGCACAATCTTTTTATACTGTCAGGGTCCCCTACCACTCTAAAAAATACCTAATTTTACTAGTTTTAAAATGTACCAGTGAAGAAAAAAGTTATATTTTATACTTGCCTACCCCTGTCTTGTGCCCGTGGCACCTAGGTGAGGATTACATCTAATACCTTCAAGCTAGATCCTGGGGAACACAAACCAGCTGAAATCTTGTGAGAAAACACTCTAGTCTATTGCAAGAGCATCTTCTGGTGAGATTTCTCCTGCTGTGCATTGCCCAGAAATTTTCATAAAAGGTCAGTGACAATACGGCCAATGATGCTGGTACGTTTACAGGTACATTTTGGAACTACTAACCTAAGAAGGTTGTTTAAAGGGGACGGGGAGCCAGACATTATATGCCGATCTTGCATTGCACTGCAAGGTCTTCTTTAGGTTACCTACCTTGAATTTTATACTCCCCTGTCCACAATGAGCTGCAAAAAACACCGCTCACCCCGGGTCTATCATTGGGGTTCATAATAGATTGTCTCTGTTGGAATGAAGCAGGTTTTCTCTTTGAATCCGCTAAATAATTGATGGGATAGCTGGAATGTTTTGCAGCCACGCAGCTTCCTGGGGGGGTTGTAACATAAAGGATGGCTATACAAAAGTATGGCTTTCCTTTAACCATGTGCTACCTGGTCACAGTAGGTTGGGTGGCAGTTGCAGGCTCAGCAACGTAAAAAAATGTTGTTGGCTTGCCTCTGGGTTTGGGGTACGCATGCCCGCACCTTCTACTGACCTCCGATGTGGTTGGACACAGTGAAATATTGTCAGCAAGTTTCAGCCAGTGATTTAAGGCTGAGACCTAATGATCAGCTGTGTCCAATCACAGCACAGAGTCCTGTGTTTACAAACACATAGGACAGTGGTTCTCAATCTTCCTAATGCCGCGACCCTTTAATACAGTTCCTCATGTTGTGGTGACCCCCAACCATAAAATTGATTTAGTTGCTACTTCAGAACTGTAATTTTGCTACTATTATGAACTGTAATGTAAATATCTGATATGCAGGATGTATTTTCATTGTTACAAATTGAACATACTATTACTTCCACACTGACACCAATGGTGGGGCACTATTCATCCCACACTGGCACTAATGATGGGGCACTATTCCTCCCACACTGACACTAATGATGGGGCACTATTCCTCCCACACTGGCACTAATATGGGGCACTATTCCTCCCACACTGACACTAATGATGGGGCACTATTCCTCCCACACTGACACTAATGATGGGGCACTATTCCTCCCACACCGACACCAATGATGGGGCACTATTCCTCCCACACTAACACCAATGATGGGCCACTATTCCTCCCACTGACACCAACGATGGGTTACTATTACTTCCACACTGACACCAATGATGGGGCACTATTCCTCCCACACTGGCACTAATGATTGGGCACTATTCCTCCCACTGACACCAATGATGGTGCCCCATCATTAGTGTCAGTGTGGGAGGAATAGTGCCCATCATTGGATTGGTATCAGTGGGAGGAATAGTGCCACATTGTTGGTGTCAGTGGGAGGAATAGTTCCCCATCATTGGTATTAGTGGGGTGGAATAGTGCCCCATCATTGGTATCAGTGGGAGGAATAGTGCCCCATCATTGGTGTCAGTGGGAGGAATAGTGCCCCATCATTGGTGTCAATGTGTGTGTGGGGGGGGGGGGGGGATAGTGCCCCATCATTGGTGTCGGGGGGGGACGACGACTAATAGTGCCCCATCGGTGTCAGTGGGGGGGGGGAAATAGTGCCCCATCGTTGATGTCAGTGGGGGGAGGAATAGTGCCCCATCGTTGGTGTCAGTGGGGGGAGGAATAGTGCCCCATCATTGGTGTCAGTGGGGGAGAAATAGTGCCCCATCATTGGTATTAGTGACACCAATGATGGGGCACTATTACTCCCACTGACACCAATGATGGGGCACTATTCCTCCCCCCACTGACACCAACGATGGGGCACTATTCCTCCCACTGACACCAATGATACTTACCTTGCTGACCCCTGCTCCAGCCTGGGCTTGCTCCCTCTCTCTCCCATCTACAGCCAGCATACCTGGCTGCAGCAGCCTCATCTGCACGGTACAGACATTTACCGGTCAGCTGTCTTCTTTCTCCGGCCATTCTCCTCCTCTTCACTCGCTCCGGCAGCTCCCTCACTCGATCTTCTTTGATCTTCACGCTGTCGCTTGGCTCCTCCTCTCTTAGCTCCACCTCCTCGTCGGTGATTGGCTGCGTGCGTGCCTTTCCTGAACTACAGTTCCGGTGGCCAATCACCGGAGAGGAGGTGGAGCTGTTGAGTGATCCCGGGAGTGTGGCCAGATGACAGGGACGGCATGTCATCCCGCCCACACATCATGATCCAGGGAAATGAAGACACTAGACAACCTCTCCACCCCTCCTCTAGCAGCGTGTGTGTTTTCAGATGGTCTTAAGCGACCCCTGTGAAAGGGTCGTTTGACCCCCAAAGGGGTTGCAACCCACAGGTTGAGAACCGCTGACATAGGACTTTGTACAGAGAGCAGTGATCTGGGTGTTTCTTCTCCCTAAAAAGTAGGGAGAAAAAAACAGCCAAATCTCATAGTAAATACAGAACATATTACACAAATTACACTTGTTAGGCATTCAGTTAAACACTTGATTGCCCCTTGATGGTAACCTCTTTTTAGTCAGTGTCATTAGTGCAGTGACAGTGTACAGTACTATATTTGATCACTGTATTAGTGTCACTAGTTATGTCAGTGTACCTCCCAGTAAATCGCTGATCATCGCCATTACCAGCTTGGAGTCATAACTGTGTAAAATCCCAGAGAATGGGACTGCCATTACTGGCCATCTATTAAAAAAATACTTGTTGCTTGGCTGCAATGCTAACTCTCTGGCTACAGTACTTTTGAAGTAATTGAACTGGAACCAGTATACAGTCAGGTCCATAAATATTGGGACATCGACACAATTCTAACATTTTTGGCTCTATACACCACCACAATGGATTTGAAATGAAACAAACAAGATGTGCTTTAACTGCAGACTGTCAGCTTTAATTTGAGGGTATTTCATCCAGATCAGGTGAACGGTGTAGGAATTACAACAGTTTGCATATGTGCCTCCCACTTGTTAAGGGACCAAAAGTAATGGGACAATTGGCTTCTCAGCTGTTCCATGGCCAGGTGTGTGTTATTCCCTCATTATCCCAATTACAATGAGCAGATAAAAGGTCCAGAGTTCATTTCAAGTGTGCTATTGCATTTGGAATCTGTTGCTGTCAACTCTCAAGATGAGATCCAAAGAGCTGTCACTATCAGTGAAGCAAGCCATCCTTAGGCTGAAAAAACAAAACAAACCCATCAGAGAGATAGCAAAAACATTAGGCGTGGCCAAAACAACTGTTTGGAACATTCTTAAAAAGAAGGAACGCACCGGTGAGCTCAGCAACACCAAAAGACCCGGAAGACCACGGAAAACAACTGTGGTGGATGACCGAAGAATTCTTTCCCTGGTGAAGAAAACACCCTTCACAACAGTTGGCCAGATCAAGAACGTTCTCCAGGAGGTAGGTGTATGTGTGTCAAAGTCAACAAACAAGAGAAGACTTCACCAGAGTGAATACAGAGGGTTCACCACAAGATGTAAACCATTGGTGAGCCTCAAAAACAGGAAGGCCAGATTAGAGTTTGCCAAACGACATCTAAAAAAGCCTTCACAGTTCTGGAACAACATCCTATGGACAGATGAGACCAAGATCAACTTGTACCAGAGTGATGGGAAGAGAAGAGTATGAAGAAGGAAAGGAACTGCTCATGATCGTAAGCATACCACCTCATCAGTGAAGCATGGTGGTGGTAGTGTCATGGCGTGGGCATGTATGGCTGCCAATGGAACTGGTTCTCTTGTATTTATTGATGATGTGACTGCTGACAAAAGCAGCAGGATGAATTCTGAAGTGTTTCGGGCAATATTATCTGCTCATATTCAGCCAAATGCTTCAGAACTCATTGGACGCCGCTTCACAGTGCAGATGGACAATGACCCAAAGCATACTGCAAAAGCAACCAAAGAGTTTTTTAAGGAAAAGAAGTGGAATGTTATGCAATGGCCAAGTCAATCACCTGACCTGAATCCGATTGAGCATGCATTTCACTTGCTGAAGACAAAACTGAAGGGAAAATGCCCCAAGAACAAGCAGGAACTGAAGACAGTTGCAGTAGAGGCCTGGCAGAGCATCACCAGGGATGAAACCCAGCGTCTGGTGATGTCTATACGTTCCAGACTTCAGGCTGTAATTGACTGCAAAGGATTTGCAACCAAGTATTAAAAAGTGAAAGTTTGATTTATGATTATTATTCTGTCCCATTACTTTTGGTCCCTTAACAAGTTACAACATAAGCCAACTGTTGTAATTCCTACACTGTTCACCTGATTTGGATGTAAATACCCTCAAATTAAAGCTGACAGTCTGCAGTTAAAGCACATCTTGTTTGTTTCATTTCAAATCCATTGTGGTGGTGTATAGAGCCAAAAATGTTAGAATTGTGTTGGTGTCCCAATATTTATGGACCTGACTGTATATGTTGAGAGTCTAAAGTTTTTATCTGCATACATGTTCTGGGTTTATGACTACAGTTATTGAAGCCAGTGGGTCAGCATGCAAGGCATCTAGCTTGTGTAAAATGAGAAATCAGCAATGGCAGCTTCCTTGTTCCTCTCTCCCTTAAGATGGAGTTATGAAATAAACACAGTGGCCATTGCTTTTTCAGTTGAAGCAATATTCTATATGTGACCAAATGTAGTGTCCAGAGCGGGCTTAAATATTGTGGAAACTTTACTTTTCCATGGAGTTCTTCCTACCAGGTTTTCTTATGCTTTCCAGGAGAAGAAGGCAGCCTTGGAGAAAGAGAGGGATGAGCGTATAGCAGAAGCTGAAATTGAGAACCTGTCTGGAGCTCGGCACCTGGAAAGTCAGAAACTTGCCCAAATCCTATCAGAGAGACAACAGCAGATCAAACATATCCCATCAGATGGTCACTGCATGTACAGAGCTATTGAACATCAGTTGAAGGAACGGGCTGTGAATCTGACTCTTTCCAATCTCAGGCACCAAACTGCGGACTACATGCAGAGCCATGCAGATGACTTCCTGCCATTCCTAACCAATTCTGCCACAGGGGACTTGTACACCCCAGGGTGAGATGTATTTGTGTCAAAATGTATCCAAGTATCTATGTCTTTTTGCAATTGTGCTGGCATGCTAGTGTGTACCAGTAATCATTTGAAAAGGATTAGGGCTCATTCATACTAAGAACTGCATTGGAATCGCACAGAAACGCTGTGCCGGCTCCTGTGCAATTCACATGCTGTTCTGTGCAGTTTCAGCTGATTCATTTTGAATAAGCTGAAATTGCATGGCACCAAAAGTAGTGCATGCGTTACTTTTTGAAATGCACTGCAACCAGATGGCATGGTGCTTTGGCAAATGCACTGCTTTTGTGACCTACGTTTGCTGAATCATTACCTTTACACTGACCCCTCTTGCAAGGGCAGTGAGATTGGAATGTGCTATGGGAAACAGCAAGGGAACGCGGGTTTCCCGCACCACATTCTAGTGGGAATGGACTCTTAGAGTAATCCTGAGCAAGGGCATTTTGGCTGTGAGAGCCACAAATGCTCTAGGAATCATGAGTACCATTAACCGCACATCTCGTCGGGTCATTATGAAGGTATTGCTTTTGTGATTGGTAATGTATTTTAAGTCTCAAGCCTGTGGACAGTTTTGGGCCCTGGAGCATTGAAGAGTCCTCTGTTGAAGTGTACCTAAGCCACAAATAAAAATGTAATATATTGCAGCTTACAAGTTGTAAAATTTAGTGGCTGCAGTTTTCTTTTTTCAGGCAAATATTTTCAGCAAGTACAGAAAATACATGTTTATCCTGCCAGACATGCTCTGTCCTTGTTGCTTCCTGTAATCGTAACAAAAAGCAAAAACTTCATAATTTTTTTTATGTGTGTTTTACTAACCCCATCGATAACAATACAAAAATATTATTTTGCACTTAGTGTATACACAGAGCAGCACCCACTAAACTTTGGAATATTGGATATCAGAATCTATATATACACAAATGAGTGCACATCCACACGAATAAAAGTCCACAAATGTCAAGTGAAAACAGTCATTTGCAAATCTTCTGCAAAAAAACAGTGAAGTCCAGGAACAAGTGAAAACATTCAACTATCTAACAACTCTGTGAATGTGACTTGAAGATACAACCAAGGCACTCGTGCCTTTCACTAATATAAGGTTGGCTTCTTACCACATGTGAAAGATCCCCACCACAGGGATCAGCCAGACATGTAATCAACAGAGCTCCAGACATTCATCAATGGCAAAAGCAGGACACCAACGTCCAGTTTCAGTGATTCCAAGGATCAGCAAAATAGAGCCGCATCCTTATTCCTGGAGGAGAACAGAGGCCACACATAGTGTAAAACCACCAATTTATTTAAAACAATAGATAGGTACTTACTATGGTAAAAGAAAATACAGCATGTCCTGATGCCACTGTACATCCATAAAAAAGAGGGCTGGCGGAATGAATATATCTAGACCCATCGATGGGTCTAGGTATACAAATTCAGCCAGTTATCTTTTTTTATTGTACAGTGGCAGCTGCATAGGAGCCTATATAAACTACATTAGATGTCAGTAGCGTTTGCTCCTGTTCCCTTGATGACACTGTTTGATGGTGAAACATGATGGGTGGGGCCTAACTTGTGATGTCAGTGCGCTCCTTGGAATCACTGAAACCGGACGTTGGTGTCCTGCTGTTGCCATTGATGAATGTCTGGAAGTCTGTTAGTATTATTATTATACAGGAATTATATAGCGCCAACAGTTTGCTCCGCGCTTTACAATATAACGGGAGACAATACAGTTCAATACAAGAGGGTTAGGAGGGCCCTGCTCCTTGGAGCTTACAATCTAAGAAATTCCATGCCTGGCTGATCCCTGTGGCGGGGATGTTTCATATGTGGTAAGAGGCCGTCTTTATTTGTGGTAAAGGGCGTGAGTGTCTTGGTCGTCTCTTCAGGACACATTCACAGAGTCGGTGGATAATTGAATATTTTCACTTGTTCCTGGACTTTACTTGTTTTTTGGGGGTTTTTTTTTTTAGATTTGCACATCACTGATGTTTTCATCTGATGTTTGTGGACTTTTATTTGTGTGGATACACACTCATTGTATGTGTGTATATATATATATATATATAAGTCCATCAATACACCATGTAATGGAGATTAACAATAGCTGCCACAGCTCTCTTCATAAATACAGTGGAGACATCAGTTTAGCCACAGAGGGACAGAACTAGTTGTTTTCAGGCTCACCAGGTCAAAATAAAGAGAAAAAAAGAAAACAAACAAAAAGAAAATCTTCCATGTGGTGGCTGCATTAAAGTGCCCCTTTCAGCAGATGATCACTTGTATGTAAAACGTACCAGCAAAAGGAAAACTGCAGACTATATACCTTTCTGGTTGCTTCATTGCTCTGCTGGAAATGTTCAACCAGTCAGATAGGGGGTAGATACCTGTTTCCCTCCACCCACACGATTGTGTTCTGACAGTGGGAGATTTCCCAGTCGTCAGTATGCAGTGATCACTGCTGGTGGCTACAGCCAGCAGCAGTGATCGTATGGGAAAAAACCTGACAGGCTGGTTGTACTGAAATCCATTCATAGGTAGACTACAGTTCAACCAGCCTGCCCATATGTGGATCAAAATTCAGCCAGTTCAACAGGAACCGGCTGAATTTCGATCCATCTATGGGCCGGCTTAAGTCTATGCAGTCTTCCATGTATTTTTTTATTCTTGAGTTTTTACTTATATCCTTACTGGAATTGATAAATCAGGAGTAACACAAGGGATCCTATGCTTACCTTTCTTGGAGAAAAAAAAAATATTCTAGGCTACCTTGAGTTCTGCTTATGTGACCAGAAGTCTAGGCCTTTGGCTGCATCTGCTAGTAGGCGCTCAGATCTTTGTCTTTAGCTGAGCCGTCCCAGTGCCTGGACGTTTAGTTATCTGAATAGTACTGAAGGGAAACCAGGACAGCATTTTCCCTAGGACAGGTAAGTATTTCAGGCCTTCCATTACTCTATTAATCCATCCCATTCCCTAATATTTGAGTCTTGATCCACTATATAGATTGTACTTTGTGTGGATAGCCAGCAGAGGGCACACTTGCCTTACATTTTATTCCCTATACTAGAACTGATTGAATTGTAAGTTCACCTTTCAGGAAAAAAAATAATAAATGCACATATATTTGCAAAAATATGCATTTATTATTTCTCCCCACAGGAGCATGACACCTGTGATCCACTGAGCAATGTCAGGCTTCTGTACACTCTCCCTCCAGCTTTATTGCGTCTACCTCTGTACAGGATTTCAGTTGAAAGCAGGAGGAAGAGTGAATGGACTATGAGTGTGCTGATCAGCTTGTTGCATGGTCCTTAGAAACTACAGGTTCATCTGCTGTGGTGACAGACGGGACTGTTTATTCATTCACAGATTGCTGTTAATGAATGACAGCAGCTGCAGGGGAGAGTAACCCATCTGCTGCAACAGTGAAGGGGGGGGAGGGTGAGTAGGCTCTCCCAGTGGACCCTAAATATGAGTGTAACGTGTTCCAAAGGTGAACCTATCCTTTAAAATGTAATTGAATTGCCCTGAATTTTCTAACACATTCAATGCTCACCTTTCAGAGGTTCACTTTATCCTTTATGGCAGCTTTATTAGCTTGGGATATGTTGGGCTCTTCTATGCTTCTGTTTTTTTAACTCCCTAAAGTGCTGTGGAGTCAAGGTGAATTCTGATGGTGACATGGATTTATCTAGGAATAAATTGTTCTATATCATCTAATTGCAAATGTTCCAATCCCCTCATCCAGTGGCTGTATGCATATTCAGTATTCACCCATCTGCTGCCGGGGTCAATTAAATTTGAATAGCTAAAGCTCTAAAAGTTTTCATGTTTCACTTCTGGAGGGTTGAGGTGTTCAGTCTGCTCTTAGGGTTGCACAGAAAAAGGTTTTTGCAGATAGGCAATGGCAGTATTCAGGTTTCCACGTCCATTCCTATTGGCTGTCCAGCACCAGGGTTCTCTCAGGGTCCAGCTGGATTAGCAGTCCCCTGTACCCAGAAATGGCGCCAATGAGGGATCAGGATGTTGGACCTAAGTGACTATAACTTGCTTCACCACTTACATTAAGCAAAAAGCCTTCCAGGATGTGGGAAGTGGGTGATTGTTTGTTTTTTTTAATGGAGAAAATCTTTGAAAACACCCTGTAGCATTTTTGGCTGTGACCATCCTGCGTAAGTGCAGATTATTCCTGTAACATTTGCTTCCTGGAATCCATCTGCCCTTAGCTCAGACATGCAGGCAGGATGGTGTACTTAGCAGAGAACGCCTCCTGAAGACTCCTGGGATGTATGACATCATTTGCCTGGGCCTGACAACTAGGAAGTGACTGAAGAAGTGTAGGAAAACTTTAAAACCAGTAAATATAATATACTTTCCTATCTATTTACTAATGTTAGCAGCATAAGGTTTAAAAATAGTCGATGCTGATTGAGAGAATGAAGTTCCACTTTAAGTGTCATACCAGTGATTGGATTTAGTTTCTAGCAGTGTTATTCTTTGGATAGGGGTTCACTTCATCCTCTTAGTTTGAATGACAGTTTAGTATAATTGTGTCACATTTTCTTACACAGATGAGTTTGAGAAGTACTGCAGTGAAATTGCAAACACACCAGCATGGGGCGGACAGTTGGAGGTAAGAATCAACCTTTTTGTTGTTGAGCAAAAATGCCCATTTGTAACAAATTATCAGGATAGGGTTGCCCAACCTTAAACCAGAAAGCAGAATTAAACCCTCCCATCCACCAAGGAAGGCGCCATCTTGGTCTCTATTTAGATCTGCAGGTACCCTGGTGTTGCTCATGTGATCAGCTGTGACACCAGCCATTTAATAAGCACACTGGCAACTATGACAGTTCTCACCTTGCCTTGATTGTAGCCTACTCCTTACACGTGCTAGTAGGCAGAATGTGAATGAAATGCAGCAGAAATCAATATTGTTGTGTTTGATTAAAGTGGTTGTAAAGGTAGAACGTTTTTTACCTTAACCACTTCATGTCCGGACACTTTCACCCCCTTCCTGTCCAGGTCAATTTTCAGCTTTCAGCGCTGTCACATTTTGGGTCATGCAACACTACCCATATGAATTTTTTAGCATTTTTTTGAGACAGATAAAACTTTATTTTGGTGGTGTTTATTCACCACTGGGATTTTTATTTTTTTTGCTATATAAACGAAAAAGTCCAAAAATTTTGAAAAAGTGTAATAATCTTTCTTCATAAATCTTGGCCACAATTTATTCAGTTATCTTTTTAGTAAAAAAAAAAAAAAAAAAAACTCAAATTAGTTAATAACCAAAAATTATAATTTTTAAAACATTTTTTTTTTTTTTTTACATTTTTTTTGTTTTTAACATACTGTCACCCTAGCAGTACAGTGTCACCATAGTGACACTGTACTACTTGTGGAGGGTGATGAAGATTTTTTTTTTTTTTACACTGATTGCTTTTACACCCATAAAGGCTGTAAAAGCAATCATTTCTCCTTCTCTCTGGCTGCATTCTTGCAGCTATTGAGAAATGCTGTGTGAGCTGTGATTGGTCACAGCTTGTCACATGGTGCAAGGCTGTTGTGAATAGCCTTGTACCATGTGATCTCTGTGATCATTCACAGATTTCACACGTAGTAAGCAATAATGTCAGAAGTGACATCTTGCTTACACCTGTTCATGTGATCACTGATTGGCCAATCAGTGATCACATGATCGGGACCTCACACAGAGGTCCCATACAGCGATCGGTGTTCCGCTGTGTCCTCTGTTATTTTGTAATCCTGCACTTTTCTACTAAGGAAAACTAATCTGTGCACAGGACCCCCCCCCGCCAGCCTCTCCTTATACTTACTTGAGCGCAATCTCAAACCAGCACTTTGCCCAAGAGCAGTGGCTCTCTCCGCTCTTTCTTTTTCTCTTCTCTACAAACATAGAGGCTGCAGCAGGAGCCATTGGCTCCTTTTGGTCTCAATCACAGCCTGTGAGGAGAGAGCAGGGCAGGGCCGAACCACACTGTGTGTGTGTCCGTAGACACAAACGGGGCTCAAGATTAAGCCCTGAGGCCCGGACTGGCCATAGGGCACACCAGACATTTGCCTGGCGGGCTGGGGCCATTCTGCTGCATGTCCTAATAAGAGCGGCCTGTTGATGACCGGGCCACACAGCGGGTGGTAAACAGCGACTGTGGTCCAGACAGAGCTGCCACAAACTGCTGCCGCCGCTCACCTCCCACTATGTAGGGCCTGCAGGAGATGTAGAAGAATGCGGGAGAGATGGCTCCAGTGACCTGCAGGAAGCTCCTGCAGGGGACACACACCTTCCAGGCCGGCCACTGCAGATACAGCCAAACTGAAGGAACAGCGACGGCCTCTCGCCTTCACCAGTCAGCACACCGGAACAGCTGCACAGGGGTGGATTGGGATGTCTCTTTGCTGGTTTGTGCTGTCTCTTTCCTATATGGGGATGTCTCTCTGCAGGATTGAGATGTCTCTACTGGATTGGGCCATCTCTTTGCTGAATATATAGGGGGCACTGTAATTAGGGGCATGACTGCAAGGGGCACTGTAATGTAAAGGGTCCCTTCACAGTGCGGTCCCTTTATATCACATTGCCCCTTTATATTACAGTGCTAAGGACCGACTCCATGAATATCCCATTACCAACTGCCCCCGTGAGCAGATAACCGTATTACCACAAAGAATTAATTCCAGAGGCAGTCCACATGTACAGTATATAGAGTATTGTTTTGGTATTCATTAACATTCATATATCAACTCTGCATGTGGTAAATATCAGGGTGTAGGGTATAAAAATGGATCGCCATTTGTATACTCTAAAATGTGGTTGTTTGAGCATTTATATTAGATGTTCAGACATTTTATATGTATCCTGATAATTGTCAGTAAGGCCCCATTCACGCTTGTGAATGGGGCCATTGTTGATTACATGTGGGAGATCCAGCTGGGGTCCTCAGCGATTAGCTGTGGGCGGCCGCCCTATTGAAAGCAAAGGAAGGCTGATGGCTCCAGCAGCTAATCATGGCTACTCACATGTAATCGCTGGTGCAGAGATTACCTGCGATGATTGACCTTGGATGCAGACAGTTTCCATTTGCAATTACAAGCAAGCAGCTGCAGTTGGCTGTGGGATCTGTCAGCCTCCAATTGCTTTCAATAGGGCTGCCACCCACAGCTGCTCGCTGGGAACCCTGAAGGCTCTTGCGCATATATTCAGTAACAGCCCATTTGCAAATGTGAATGGGGCCTTAGGGTATTTGTTATGTGTGTACTGATCAGAGCGATATACAATCTAGTATAATTACCAGTAGGTAAATTTTTTTTTTTTTTTAAACCGCTTACCCGCAGCCATATAGCAAATATACTGCTATACGGCAGCACGGGTGCGCAAAATCACGTGTATATATATATATGTGATTTCGCATTTCCGAGTAGGGGGAGCGCACGAGCCCTATGTGCGGCACCATTCGCATCTCCCGGCCGGTGATTACCGACAATCACCAACAGGGTGGAAGACTGTTTTGTTTACAGCCTTCCTCCCTGTCAGCTCGGGCACACTGCTCAGGATGGCTGTGCACAGCACAGCCATCCCGATCAGTGTGCTTACAGTGAAGCACACACCCCCCGCCCCCTAGTAACACACTCCCTACACACAGTTAACCCTTTGATTGCCCCTCACATTAACCCCTTCTTGCCCAGTGTCATTAGTACAGTGTCAGTGATGTTTTTTTTAGCACTGATCACTGTATTGTTGTCACTGGGGATGTCAGTGACACCAAGTTAGTTCCCCCCCCCAGTGTCAGAATGCCCGCCGCAGCCCTGCTAAAAGTTGCTGATCGCCGCCATTATTAGTAGGAAAAAAAATCCCAATATCTATACCGCCATTTGAAAATGCTATAACTTTCACGTAAACGAATTAATTTACACGTATTGGGATTTTTTTTTAGCAAAGACATGGAGCAGAATACATTTTGTCCAAAATATTGTTTTTTTTTTCTCAAAATTGTCAGCCTTTTTTTGCTTTTAGCACAAAAAATAAAAAACGCAGAGGTAATCAAATACCACTGAAAGGAAGCTCAATTTGTGGGGAAAAAAGGATGTAAATTTCATCTGGGTGTGGCATTGCATGACCGCGCAATTGTCAGTTAAAATAATGCAGCGCCATAACGCAAAAAATGGCCTGGTCAGGAAGGGGGGAAAATCCTGTGGAGGGAAAGTGGTTAAAGTCAAGTTGTCAAGGAACCCTGTCCTTTTCATTGATGAAAGTATTGATGCATTTTAAATGTATTTGAAGATCAAAATACTTGCAAAGATTTGCACATCCAAATTGACGAAGGGTGCTATCCTGAATATTTTAGTATACAATGTAAATTTGAAAAAAAATAGGATGAAGTAAATAATCTGGAGGTCCATTCCTAATAAACTGAATTGCATTCCAGTGCTACGTCTGTCTGCTCATTCTTGGCCAACCATCTGACACTATACCTTAGTATGTCCAAAGATGGTCCTTTTACATACCAGCTCTGTGGAATCATGTGAGGATTGGGGTATATAGGGCTTTTCCAGGTGTTGATAATGAGCCCTTTGATTGTCGTACACATTATATCACACACGTTTTACAAGTTGTTATTACATCTCTATACACAATCTGAGCTTTCCCTTTTAGTATGTGAAAATGAAAGGACAGAAGTACTAATTATAACGTGTGTGTGTGTTTGTGTTTGTGTTTTGCTGTCTCAAATATGATTTTTGGGATGATCACATTTTGTAACCTGTTTTCTGTTTATAGCTCAGGGCTTTGTCTCACATCCTGAAGACCCGTATAGAAGTCATCCAAGCAGACTCCTCCCCTATTTTTATTGGTGAGGAGTACATGGGGACACCAATCACTGTAGTGTAAGTATCCTGTTGGCCAATTTATAACTAGCTATTAATGACCTTGAAGTAAAACCTACTACTAATCTTGTCAGAATGTCAGAGGTATCCTATGTCCTCTGCACGCTTCTGTGTTCTCTATGTAATCCCCCCCCAGCTCTTGGCTTGGGACTACAAGTCCTTTAATATCTATTTATGCTTTGGAGATGAGGACAGAGGAGTGGATTGAGTAATTTAGCAAAATCAAGCTGGTACCCAGCCCACAAAAATGCTGTGTTATTTGTGCTCAGCGGGAAAATAGATGATTATTGTTCAGTGACTTTTACTGAAATAAGAAGAGCTGACATTTGTTTGAAGAATATATTCATTGGGTTTGAGGGTAATGGGAAACCTTGAAGATAAAGACGTGCTTGAAGGCTAAGTTCACCTCTAAGAAAAAAATTATTAAATGCACATATTTAGCAAAATGTGCATTTATGTATTCATTTTCAACTGGAAAGCCACAATCCATAGATTTCAGGTGAAGCCCCGCACAGCCACATTGATTTTAAACGTGACAGCGGCTGTGAAGGAGAGGAACCCCCACATGCTGACATGGGAAGGGGGGGGGGTTCTGGGGTGGGAAGCAGGTGCTTAGGGACATGTTACATCCTAAATATGGGTGTAACATTATCCTATATGTGAACTTCGGAGACCTTCTATTCAGATCTAGCAGCCTGCCACTTTGCTTATAGTAGTATGTACTGTTTGAATAATAAACCATCCTTCAATCGGAAATCTCCAGACAGGAAAACTGGCATAGTCTAAGTTTCATGGGACAAAGTCCTATTAATGCAGTCACTTTCAATGAAGACTAAAACTGACACTATCGTTTTGCCTATAAATACTGTACAGTGCCAAATACATACAACTTGTGGCTTCTTCAGTTAAGTGACACTAAATATCCAAGACCAATGAATCCGACACAAAAGTGAGGGAAACATCACAAAAGAAATTTTGAAAATTGTCACTGACTATATTCTACTGAAAATACTATTTGCCTGGCTATCATGCACACCCCACTGTATTCAGTACTTTCTGACCTATAACAATATGGAAATAAACTGTTCTGACTGTATACTTTGTGGTCAGTGACTTAGAAAGTGATGAAAACAGAGAGTCAGTATGACAGGCTTGCAGCTAGCATTACAGCACACCTACTATTTCCCCCCATTCAGATCAAAGCAACAGGTTTGTTTGAATCCCCCTCGCCCAACCTCTTCCCAGCATGCACATAACTTTCCTTGAAGCTGAACTCTGGGGAAAGAAAGCATTCTCCTTTGCAGTGGAGCTGCCCCTGCACTGAGAGTATTTTCTGATCATTTAAGCCTAGGGGGCTGCAAAAAGCCATTCTACTTACCCAATCCTTTACTCCCAACAGGCTGTATCACCCTACAGCTTCTTCTCCCCTATGCTTCATTGGTCGCAGGTCTTCTGATGTCATCAAGGCCAATGTAGAGCCCATTGCCTTGCATTGGACATGAGGATGCTGGGTGACAATCCACTGCTATGGGAGTAGAGGAGAGTGTCAGCTGGCAGAGGAACAGAGAATTGGGTGTGTAATTTTTGCCACCCTCCCCACCTAGATTTAAGCGAAGCCTCACTACAAGGGAGCAATTTTACTTTCCATGGAGATGGGCTTTAACTCCCCATTGCTATGCTATGTTTAGTGTCAGAAGCTGAAGGAAATATCTGAAATAAATGCTTTACAGATGTAGAGGGGCATGTGACTCGCTTCATGTGAAGACGTTGAGTTAGAGTGAGAAAGTCACGAAAAACTACTTCTGCGCAATTACTGTATCCACTTTAAAACTCATAAGCTAAAAAATAACAAAATTGACTCAAAAACCTATTTTTATTTAAATGTCAAGTGCAGCAATGACTAACCTACAGAAAAGCTGCAGAACAGACTGATCAATGGTATGGGAATGCTGTGCTAACTGGCAGTACTCTGCTGTCACCTTGTGGTTATGTTTGTATATTACAGTCTCCTTTGTTTCATGTTTTGCCATGAACTAGACTGTCTTATGTCCTTTAGTTATGAATGGAAATAAATTGAAAAAAAAACCCATAAAAATAAAATATATATATTAATTTATTTTTATTTAATTTTTCTTTTAAGATTTGGATTTAAATTGTTTGAATTTGAATATCCTTGTTTGTGTCTTTCAGTGTGGTTGTTCCTTTAAAATATTTTTGTTTGCTGTAACCTGCCTTGTCTTCTTTTTCTAGGATAATTTATCATTAATCTTTTTCAAAATTATGAATGGTTGGTGTCAGTATACTTTCAGAAACCTCCCAGTGAAACACTGTTTGTGTGTGTGTGCGCAAGTGTGTCTGTGCAGGATCCTACCTTAAAATATATAATGCAACAATCAAAATGTATACTATGAAAATCGTTATACACTGCTCAGCTTACAGTATAACTATATGTTAATCAGAAGATCACAGCTAGATATACTTTACTCACAAAAACATACACAAATTTGGAGTACTTGGTAATTGTTGACCCTGCTACAAGTAGTTTTGAAGGATTGGTTAGTTTTTGGGAATTTTTTGATTCAATTTGGTATCTTGCAGCTCTTGTTCATGTATGCAAAACTAGAATTATTATTCTTTTTATTATAATAGAGGATTTATATAGCGCCAGGAGTTTGCACAGCACTTTACAAAGTGAGTGCAGACAGCACAGCTACAATACAATTCAATACAAGAGGAATCTGAGGGTCCCAAGAGAATATTATGTATATACTATGCACGTTATGATCATAAACATTTAATTTTTTTTTTCAGATATATGCGACATGCCTATGGACTGGGGGAGCATTATAACTCCATAGAACCACTAAGTGCTACACCTACAGAATAGTTTTCTGTGCCAGATATCTGCTGCTGCCAGAGTCCATTATGATTTATTATCTGGTCTTTAACATAGGAACATTTGTTCCTTCATCACATATATAGGCAGCCATATTAAATGCGGAAGATATTGGTAGCGAACCAGCCAATCAATTCACTAAGAACAACTGTCGTGAACACTGACGATGAAGACCTCTGTGATCAAACTAGTGAATTGATGAGCCAAGGACAGTGCTGCCTTCACTCTTAGTGGGTACACATTGACTTTTTTTTGGTATTTATCAGACAACCATTTCACAATTTTTAGTCATGGATCAAAAATGGGGGTTAACTGAAACACAACTTATCCCCGAGATGGTCATTTCACATCTGCTGATGAAGAACTGTCATTGAAATCTGTTGAGCACATAAAGGTGAACTCCAGGCAAAGCAAAATGCTGTGCAGTAAATAATCCATAGGTATAATTCCTTCTCTGTGTCAGCATTCTGCTATTACTATGCTGTTTGATAGAAAAGCTGATTATCCACAGCAGATTCCGGCCTATTATAAATATGACTTGCTGGTGATCTGAGCAAAATGTAGACCCACCAACCCTGACTGAGCGTAATCTTTCTACAGACTGGAGGTGCTGGAGTTACATCAGCACAGTGGTTTCTGGAGCTTATGTTTACAACAAAGAAATACTAAGTGGACAAGACCGATCTTATATAGGTTTACCAATGTTGCTTCTCCGTTTAAAAGTAACAGGTAATCCCTGAATATGTTGGTAATAAACATCTTTTGCCTCTGAAATTGTGTGCACTGTGTGATTTTAGAGATAGTGCCCCTATAGCGTTTGACAGGCATTAGACAGGTGTTTGGGAAGCCTTTTTAAGTCTCCCCAAACACCCTATGAGCATTTTTGAGGCGTTTGATAGGCGTTTGCCAAGCGTTAAAACCGCACCACAAATGCCTACAATGAAGTTTAATGGTAGTAACGCTATGCAAACTCCTGCCAGGCATTTGAGGAGCATCACCATAGACTTGAATGGGAGGTTTCAACTCCTCCTGACATGAGGCGTCAATTTTGCCACAACGCTAACACTTCAGTGTGAACAGCACTGTGTGCTGCCATGTGTAGAATTTTCATAGGCGTTTGAGGGGCGTTAAAAACGCTTCCCAAACACCTGTTTAATGCCTGTTAACAGAGCTAGTGTGAACGTAGCCTTAGAGTGGGGATCGGCAACCCATCAATCATGATCTACCTCGATCATGGGGAGGCAATGGGTAGATTACATCTTTTCTTTGCCAAACCCCAGAACTTGGACAGGAGGTGGCAGTTACAGGAACTGGTCCCCTGTATTTTCCTTCTGCAGCAACTGAAAGCCAGCTTCTCCTCTCTCTCCTGCTGGCCTTCAGCTGCTGCAAGAGGAAAATACAGGGATGTAAATGCCACCCCTTCTGTCTAGGTTCCCCTTTCTTCTGCTGTTTGGGCTCCCCATGTGTGCTCCTCTGTTTAGACCCCTGATATTTCATGAAAGTCCCCCAGCAGGGCTGCTAGAAAAAAAAAATGTATAAAAAATATTTACAATATTTAGTTGTAGAAAAATAATAAAGTTAAACTACTGACACCGTCCACTGCTGTACTGACACTGTGGGACAGTGCTTCTTAGGGTGCCTGGTCATTTCCCATTGAGTGCCTATTAGTGGGGTCCCTACAAGTTCCTTACAACTCTAATGGTGTTGTGAAGAAGTCCAGGCTGCAGGCCTGGACTGTAGCGGGGGATCACAGGTCTTTACTTCCAGAAGAAACACCACTGAGGGTCACGTAACAGGGGACTCAGGTGAGTATAAAGGGAGAGTTTAGAAGTGTTTTATGCTAGATTCATACTATGCAGGGTGGTTGTGGGAGCAGGAATCTCAGCTGTTCCCACACCAGCAACCAAAACACACTGCTCTTTAGAGATGTGCAGCACTGCCATTCATTCTTAACTGCACCCCCGCACATCTAAAACTGCAGTGCGGGTGCAAGGACCACAGGGAAATCACATGGTACAAAAGCACCGTGCAATTTCCCAGCTGCTGTGATTTGAAATAGATTCCTGAGAGAAACGCGGCAGAGCATTAAGGGTAGATCTAAACCCAATTGCTACAGAATCATAGAAACTTTACCATCTTAATATATCCAAACGTTGTTTTCAATACATCATTTTGTGGTGATCCTGTCATGCAGATCCTTGTTCAGGCTCTCCCTATCTTTAAAGCCCGCTCGGCTATCAGTTTGCTATTGGCCGGTGCGGGAACAGGTTAAAGTGGAACTAAACTCCCAAATCTGCCAGATCGCCTGTTCCTGTACTCTGTGTAGCATAGTGACATATTTTCTGCCAGGACCCCTCCCATCACTGGTTGTTAAGGATCCTCTTGGCTTTACAGCCTCCTAGCAACCAGTGATGCTGCAGAGGGTGGAGCCTGATGGGGAACCTGGGACACATCATGATGTCACTTCTGGGGCAGACATAAACAATTATTTTGCTTTAAAAAAAAAAAAAAAAAAAAAAAAAACATTTTTAAAGGTAAAGGAGAGATTTGGTGTCTTTTGGACCCCAAATCTTTCCATAAAGAGGACCTGTCATGCTTATTTCTATTACAATAATAAATAGGAATAAAAGTGATAAAAAAAAGAACAGTGTAAAAAATAAAATAAATAGGAAAAAAAATTAAAGTGCCCCATCCTTCCATGCTTGCGCGCAGAACTGAACACATACGTAAGCCATGCATGCATATGTAATCGGTGTTTGCAACACACATGTGAGGTATCGCCATGAAGGTTACAGTGAGAGCAATAATTCTAGTGCTAGACCTTCTCTGTAACTCTAAACAGGTAACCTGTAAAATTTTTAAAGCATCGCCTATGGAGATTTTTAAGTCCCGTAGTCTGTCACCATTCCACAAGCGTGCACAACTTTAAAGCGTGAAAGGTATCTATTTACACAGCTTAACATCATCTTCCATATTTTACAAAAAAACTGGAGTATATATAGGGTTTTTTTAACTCATTAAAGTGTATTCTTTCCTTAAAAATTATGTTTAAAAAAACCACTGCACAAATACCATGTGACATAAAAAATTACAACGATCGCCAATTTATTCCCTAGGGTCTTTACTGCTCAAAAAAAAAAGTAAAAACACTTTTTAATCAGAGTATAGTATCAAGTCAGTTAAACTCCTGGGATATTTATCTGGTCCGTTAAGGCCGGCCATACATGGGTCAATTTTCGAACTATTTTTTCTTAGAAAATCGGACCCAAAAATAATCGGCCGATTTTCGCTCTGTTAGTGGGGCAATGGCACCGGCCGATTTTCGTGGTGCCTCCCCATTTTATTAATCGGGCACGCTAAAAAATTCGTGAAAAACTACCGATTTTCTAAATCATCGGTGGTATCATTGGATTACAGAACGAACAATGTTTTCGATTTTCGATCAAAAAATTGTTCAGAATTCGACCCATGTATGGCCTGCTTAAGTAGCTTAAGTTAACCACTTGCTTACCGGACACCTTTACCCCCTTCCTGCCCAGGCCAATTTTCAATGCTGTTGCACTTTGAATGACAATTGCGCAGTCATGCAACGCTGTACCCATATGACATTTTTATCATTTTTTTTTCACACAAATAGAGCTTTCTTTTGGTGGTATTTAATCACCACTGGGGGTTTTATTTTTTGCGTTATAAACAAAAAGCAAAAAATTTGTAAAACATAAGTTTTTTCTTAGCTCCTATTATAAAATTTTGCAAACAGGTAATTTTTCTCCTTCACTGATGTGTGTTGATGAGGCTGCACTGATGGGCACTGACGAGGTGGCACTGATAGGCTGTACTGCTGAGGCAGCACTGGTGGGCATTGATGAGGCACTGATGGGCACTGACTGACAGCACTGACTAGCGGCACTGCTGGTCGGCATTGCTGAGCACTGATGGGTGCAACTCCTGGGTACATGTACTCATGGGTGGCACTGGTGGGCAGCACTGATGGGTGCAACTCCTGGGCAGCAGCACTGGTGGGTGGCACTGCTGATCAGTGCAGATGTCCTCTATGACATTTGCTGGTTATGTGACAGCGTGAGGAAAGTGCTGCCGATAACCGGCAACTCTACTTGGTGATCTACTCTGTCGTTGGACACAGTCGATCACGTGGTAAAAGGCTTCTGTGATTGGCCTTTTACCTCATGTGATCAGCTGTGTCCGTAGGACACAGTGATCACTGACAGTGCCGGATGCACGCCATGGGGAATGCGTTCTGGGAGGATGTCATATGACACCCTCCCAGAACTGGACAACCGCACTGTAGCCATCATTCAGCTATAGCATGGTTGTAAAGTGGTTAATCAGTTTCAGCTGCTTTGGCTTTAATGAAATTTACAACAGGTGCACTAGGTGGGCAACAATGAGACAACCCCCAAAACATGAATGGTTTTACAGGTGGAGGCCACTGACATTTTTTTCCCTACTAATCTTTTCTGTTTTTCACTAGTTTTGCATTTGGCTAGGGTCAGTGTCACAACTGGTAGCGTGAGGCAATACGTGGACCCTACAGAGGTTGCACAGGCAGTCCAACTTGTCCAGGATGGCACATCAATACGTGCCATTGCCAGAAGGTTTGCTGTGTCTCCCAGCACAGTCTCAAGAGCATGGAGGAGATTCCAGGAGACAGGCAGTTACTCTAGGTGAGCTGGACAGGGCTGTAGAAGGTCCTTAACACATCAGCAGGACCGATATCTGCTCCTTTGTGCAAGGAGGAACAGGATGAGCACTGCCAGAGTCCTACAAAATGACCTCCAGCAGGCCACTGGTGTGAATGTCTCTGATCTGACCAACGTCCTCTAGTGGACCCTGTGCTCACTATCCGACACCATAGAGCTCGAATGGCATTTGCCATTGAACACCAGATTTGACAGGTCCGCCACTGGTGCCCTGTGCTTTTCACAGATGAGGGCAGGCTCACACTGAGCACATGTGACAGACATGGAGAACGTTATGCTGCCTGTAACATCGTTCAGCATGACCATTTTGGTGGTGGGTCAGTCATGGTCTGGGGAGGAATATTCATGGAGGGACACACAGACCTCTACAGGCTAGACAATGGCACCCTGACTGCCATTATCGGGATGTAATCCTTGGACCCATTGTCAGACCCTATGCTGGTGCAGTGGGTCCTGGGTTCCTCCTGGTGCAAGACAATGCCCGGCCTCCTGTGGCGAGAGTATGCAGGCAGTTCCTGGAGGATGGAGGAATTGATACCATTGGATGGCCCCCACGCTCACCTGACCTAAATCCAATAGAACACCTCTGGGATATCATGTTTTGGTCCATCCACCGCCGCCAGGTTGCACCTCAGACTGTCTAGGAGCTCAGTGATGCCCTGGTCCAGATCTGGGGGGAATACCCCAGGACACCATCCGTCTTCTCATTAGGAGAATGCCCCGACGTTGTCAGGCATGCATATAAGCACGTGGGGGCCAAACAAACTACTGAGGGCCATTTTGAGTTGCTGCAATGACATTTCAGCATAATGGACTAGCCTGCTGCATAATTTTTTCACTTTGATTTTCGGGGTGTCTTTGAATTCAGTCCTCTGTAGGTTGATAATTTTCATTTCCATCAAACGATGGGGCATCCTTACGTTCCTAACACATTACCCAGTCCATATCAGTATAGATATCCAGCATATTTTTCCCCATTGAAATCTGATGTGTGTTCAAAGTGTTCCTTTAATTGTTTTGAGCAGTGTATAATATTTGGGGGTTGTATGTAATTTTCTATCAAAAATACTGATGTAAACTTGTAAACAAAAAGTGCTGGAAAATGTTTGGTCTTCAAGTGGATAGGTAGGTGTTGTGTTTATTACATTTCACCCCATTGGTTGCTAGGATGAAGGGTGGGTCACACTGTACTGACAAAGGGCGGAGCCTGATGAGGAACCTGTGAGACTATTTCTCCACCATTACTTGTGATTGGTAGTGGGGCGCATTTCATAGCCTCTGTTCAGTCCAATAATAACTTTGGAATCCGCCCATTACCATGTGCTGTCAATCACAAGTATGCGGACCTAAAGGGGAACTAGTGTCTGAGTTCTCTATCAGGCTCCGCCCATCAGACAAGGCAAATTCCCCTTTGGGTGGGCGGAAACCGATGGTGAACGCTGAGCCTAGTTCCCCATCAGGTCCGTCCTGCCTGGGATTGCCAGCATGTAACTGTCAGCATTACTACTGCCCATACTAAAAATGGCCGCTCGGTTTCCAAGCATTCTGTGTGCCGTACTGCGTCGTTACTTTGGAAACCGATTGGCGTCTCTGCGTCCCAGTAGGGTGGGCATGCAGTGAGGGAATACAGGCTTACCGCTCCACATGGCTGACGTTTTGGTGCTCAGAGCGATCCGGGGCAACGCCAGGAGCCTGAACTTGAACGGGAAGAGACTGCAGCGAGTGCCGCGGGCGGTGGGCGGACTCACCCAGCTGATCAGCCTGCAGATGAAGAGCAACCTACTGTGCCAGCTACCGCCAGAGGTGGCAGCACTGAGCAATGTGAGTCGCAGATATCGTCATGTGATCTCCATAGAGCATGCAGTCCTGGCAATGTGCTGGCAGCTTCCGGCCTCTGTGCCCTGAGCTCTGTGCCTGGTGCCCTGAGCTGTGTCCTGAGCTCTGTCCTGTCTGTCCTGTGCCCCGAGTCTGTGCTGGTGCCCTGAGCTCTGTCCTGTGCTCTGTCCTGTGCCTGGTGCCCTGAGCTCTGAGCTCTGTGCTCTGAGTCCTGTGCCTGGTGCCCTGAGCTCTGTCCTGTGCCCTGAGTCCTGTGCCTGGTGCCCTGAGCTCTGTCTTGTGCTCTGAGTCCTGTGCCTGTGCCCTGAGCTCTGTCCTGTGCAGCATCATTTTAGAAATCATTTCTAGAAATACATTCCTAATGATGTCTGTAAAGAATAGCTATGGGCAATTACTTTTCTTTCAGTTTTGGAGCAGAGAGGGATTAGATCCCCTGTCAGCCTTTGATTCATGACTCTGTCCCCCATTAGGTCTCATGTACACTAGTCGTTGGGTGGCAGTAAAACTTTGTGGTTGACTTGCAGTTTTACTGCCCCTCTTATGCTGCAAAGGTAGTGGCCAGGGGCGTACACATGCTTTGCATTATGATGTGGCAAAATTACCCCCCCCCCCCCTTATCTTAGCAGGAGAGCACTGAACATGAATAGGGATCTCCCTGCAACCGCCACAGGACTGTGGTGTGCTAGCATGGGATGACAGGAGTTACAGCAGATGGGGGGTTAGCAATACAAGGCTTCCTCATAGCCTGTCAAATGCTCTCTGAAGAGTAATTCAAACACAGATTGCTCTTCAGATAGCACTGCTAGTGTAAATGAGTCTTCAGCTCCCTAAAATATACTTTGATATATTTTTGGGTTAAACTGTTACTAAACCCAGGCCCCTGCATTCACTATATCTGCTCTCCTACAGTACACAGAACATGGAAGTGCAATTATTTTGGTAAATAAAAACTGCTAAATATCTTTTCTCGTCAGCAGTTAGAGCAGTCTTGTGACTTCTATTAGTGTTCAGCAGAGCACTGGTTAAAGCTTGTAGGAGGAGTTTTCATTCTCCCCTGATTGTCCTATGAGGCTGCATAACCCCTGACCCTCTGTCTGGACAGTATTGATTGGCCCTGTGCTGATCACATGCACTCTCCCAAGTAAAAAAAAAAAAAAACTGTCTAGCAATACATACAAAGCTGAGCATGTGCAGCTTGCCCCAGAGGCTCTGTTTATCAGGAGATGGATATCAGGAGATGGACTGGGGACAGTGGAAGAAGGGGAGGATCAGAGAAGACAGGATCAAACAGCATTTTTACACAATGCAGAGGATTAACCCCTTTAGTTCCATAATGAGTATAACAAGCATGCATTACTGCATATACAGACTGATTTTACTGTTGTGGATTTAGTAACACTTTAAGTTATGCTTTAGTATAGAATAAAAGTAGAACATTTTGACTAAAGGAGGGTTATAAAATGTCAAATTTGTTTGCCATCCCAAAGGGCAGATTTCCCTCACTTCCTATTCCATAGCCAAGAAGGAAGTCAGAGGAAATCCATCCAAAGTGAAGGAGTCCTGGGGTGACACCAGAATTAGTGTCCCCCATTGGAAGATTTTACCTCAATTCCTGTTCTGGTGACAACCCAAAATTTGGGTTTCTATTACTTTCACTTTCAATAGTAAACATGACGAATAGAGAGGGTGAATCTCTCTAATGGAGGAACAAGCAGCAATAAAAACCTGGCAGGGGTTCTAATGGCAGCACAGTGGCTAAATGGTTAGCAGTACAAGGGTTGTTGGTTCGAATCCCAACCATGGCACCACCTGCCTGGAGTTTGCATGTTCTCCCTGTGCCTGCATGGGTTTCCTCCGGGTAGTCCGGTTTCCTCCTACATGCCAAAGACATGCTGGTAGGTGAATTGGCTCCTGTATATGTAAATTGGCCCTAATATGTGTATGTATGAATGTGAGTTGGCGACCTTAGATTGTACACCCCTTGAGGGTTAGGGACTGATGTGAATGTACAATATATATGTAAAGTGCTGTGTAAATTGACGGCGCTATATAAGTACCTGTAATAAATAAATAAATAATCCCTCTCCACTCTACCAAAAACTAAACAAAATGCCTTTAGTTACATTTTAACTGTGTAATGAAATCCACATATCTGTGTTTGGCATATCAATCAAATGGGTTTTTGACTATAGATTGATTACTCCTGTCAGAGGAGATTGATCAGAGAATAAACCGATCATTTATGGAAGTGTGTATGGCCACCATTAGTTGTCTGCTACAGTAGTGGTGCATTGGGGTCAATAAATGATATCGGAAGGTACTGAAGTCCAGGCGTTATCGTAACCCATGAATGTGAATGGGCCCTGAGCAGTTTGGCCTTACTCCTCTATGGGAGGGGGTGGAGTGTATCCCCATGGCCGGGTCATTTTCATGGGTTTGTGTTTTGTATAATGATAAAGAGCTGAGCCTTTCACATTTCCCACACCTGTAGATGACAAATATCTATTATACAATGCTGGTGTCAGTGATGGGATCTTGTGTGATCTGGATGTGTATTTGGTGATCTGTGTTGTTCATTGTTAATAGAATGATTTCTTTTCAGCTGACTGTGTTAAACTTGGGGAACAACAACTTTATACAAGTCCCACAGGAGCTGAAGTATCTCCATTCCTTACAGAAACTGCACCTGTTTGGAAATAAGATCACCGAAATACCATCCGATGTATTTGGTAAGCATGTAAAGATAATGACCACTTACTAGCAGAGAGTTCAATCAGTTGTGTGTTTATATGCAGTTTTATATATATACTGCTAAAAAATAATTACATGAACACTTTTTAATCAGAGTATAGCATCAAGTCAGTTAAACTCCTAGGATATTGATCTGGTCAGTTAAATAGCAGAGGGTTGTTAATCAGTTTCAGCTGCTTGGGTGGTAATGAAATTAACAGGTGCACTAGATGGGCAACAATGAGACAACCCCCAAAACAGGACAGCTGAGGGCCCATACAAACTACCGGGCCATACAAACTACTGAGTACCATTTTGAGTTGCTGCAATGAGATTTCAGCAAAATGGACTAGACTGCTGCATCATTTTTTCACTTTGATTTTTTGGGGTGTCTTTGAATTCAGTCCTCTCTCTAGGTTGACCGTTTTCATTTCCATCAAACGATGGGGCATCCTTATGTTCCTAACACATTTCCCAGTCCATATCAATATAGAAATCCAGCATGATATTTTTCTTCATTGAGATCTGATGTGTTTTCAAAGTGTTCCTTTATTTTTTTTTTTTGAGCAATGTATATACACACACACTATATTGTCAAAAGTATTGGGACACCCCTCCAAATCATTGGATTCAGGTATTCCAATCACCTCCATGGCCACATGTGTATAAAATCAAGCACCTAGGCATGCAGACTGCTTCTACAGACATTTTTGAGAGAATGGGTTGCTATCAGGAGCTCTGTGACTTCAAGTGTGGTACCGTGATAGGTTGCCACCTGTGCAATTTCCTTGCTACTAAATATTCCACGCTCAACTGTTAGTGGTATTATAACAAAGTGGAAGCAACTGGGAACAACAGCAACTCAACCATGAAATGGTAGGCCACGTAAAATGACAGAGCAGGATCAGCGCATGCTGAAGCACACAGTGCGCAGAAGTCACCAACTGTCAATCGACATCAGTGCCTGACCTCACAAATGTACTTCTGGAAGAATGGTCAAACATTCCCATAGACACACTCCTAAACCTTGTTGTCAGCCTTCCCAGAAGAGCTGAAGCTGTTATAGCTGCAAAGGGTGGGCAAACTAAATAGTTAAAGATAGTTATTAAGAGGTCGTACAATAAATTACCGTATCACCCAGTAAATGGTCTCCATTCAGTAGCCAAAAAAGGCATGCAAAAAAAGAGGGGTTGTGAAAGGAGATTCACAAAGAAAGCGGCTACATTATAAACAGAATGTGATACTCAGAAAAATTTCCAAAAATAATGCTTTATTACACATACAAATTTGACATATGGGCAATCGCCCTGGTTTACCATCACCTCAGTATGAGACAATACACACAGACCTAAAACCATATAAAATGACACCAGTACCGGTCTAAATGCATGTGCAACAAGGACAATGACTACAAGAGTCTAAAGTCCCTGTAGCACAGGCGCATAGGTGGACACTTCCCAAAGGAGGTGTATACAAAAATTATACCATAGGTATACCATAACACGTGTTTATAAATGTGTAGACTAAGCTACTACCAGAATGGTTATATCCCAAACAGGGAATTTCAAAAAATTATACCATAGATATAAATATCACATGTATGCAATGCAGCAAGCACAGTATGCGTCAAAAAGAAGGCATGCCTCTAGGCCTATATGAGACAAAACATAAATGTCATGTAAATGATGCAACGCAAGTGGTTGGGGCCCATTCATCTGTGATTATTACCAGCTGTTTCCTAGGGCTCTTGAATAAAAATATGCCCCATTTTTTACCAGGATGGAAGGATAGATGCATGAAGCAGCGCACTGCTTGAAATGGTTTCTTCACCACTGCATGTGGACTACATACCACTTTCTGTGAGAAAATCAAGACACATCCCAATAGATCTTCTGCCTGTTGAAATACATGTGGTATATCTTGTTTCTTATACAAAGCACCATGATGTCCCCATCCTGTAGTGAAACAAACAATATGTGGAAAGTCACTGAAAGAGCTTTCACTCTGTATAGGATATATAGGTCATATATGTCACATAGGACCATATATCTTGTGTCCTGCAACAGTCCACTCACCACCTGTGCAATGGATAATAGGAGAGGAAAGAATATCCTTCATAGGTGCTGCCATACAAGGCCGGGGAGGCCAAGGAACCACCGCTGACATCCGCCGATATACCGCGGGTTCCAGCCTCTTCTCGGCGCCTGTGCTGCCTAGGCTTGCCTCATGGCATGTGAAAATGGCTTCCTCCTTGTGGGTCAGCGTGCGTTCCACCTAATGCGCATGACCGGAAGTGACGTATCTGACGTATGACGTCAACGCGTTTCGCCGATGGGTGTATCTCACTCAGCTTCGTCAGGACCAAACTAAATACCCTACGACTAAGACTGGGATGCTATTAACATTTTTAAACATTAAAGAATGAAGATGCACATGATATTTAAAGTCCAACTGCAGGCACAACAAAATAAAATACCCTTGCTAGGGGTTTGCAGAAAAAGCTGTATTACATTCCCGACCCCGTGTTCACACAGACTCCCTCAATCCATGTGACCAGTCCGCCACAGCCCCCTCTGTAAGCTGTACCTTACAGCACATACAATACAGGGTTAAAGCCTAACTGTAGCTAAAAAAAACACAGAAAATCAGTACAAGGGATATAACTTACAGTCAGTAGGATGTATCCCTTGTGCTGATTCCTCTTCTGTTAGTATTACAGTCACATGCCTGAAACAGTTGCTTCTGTAACTATAATGTGATCACTGAATAAAGCTATAAACCATTTTGGAGATCTTTGGTGTGCTGGTGACATATCTCTCTCTTTGAAATTCTTCAGTTTTCAGTCAGTGGTCATTGCAACACCCACTAACATCTACAGCCACTCTCAGGAATGTGTGCGTTGGGAATATTCTGCTTGTATTATTTATCTGATTCCTACTCTAGCAGGCTTCCTCGAACCATGAGACCAGTCCGCCGCAGCCCCTTCTGTATGCTGTGCATTACAGCACATACAATACAGGGTTAAAGCCTAAGTGTAGGTAAAATAAAACACAGAAAAATCAGCACAAGGGACATAACTTACAGTCAGTAGAATGTGTCCTTTGTGCTGATTCCTCTTCTGTTAGTATTAAATCATCCTCCAAGCATGCTCCACTGCCGTAATCTACCAGTGGGGAGGGGGGGGGGGGGGTGTCAGTAGAAAGAATGGGGCTGTCACAGGCTGTCATTAAGAGAGCGCTACTATGCCCACCGTTTCTTCCCAGCTGCTCCATTCATAGAAGCTAGTGCTTCAACTTCTATGAATGAAACAGAATGTATGAATGGAGGGGGTGGAGCTATCAATCATCCACCCATCTTCCATTCGTAGATCATTCATAGAAGCTGTAGTACAGCCCCAGATTGTGGCGGGGGAAAGGCAGGCAAGGACAGAGGAAGATTTCTATGAAGTCAGCACAAGGGACTCATCCTACTGACTGTTATGTCCCTTGTGTTGGTTTTTCTGGGTTTTTTGTTTGTTTTTTAATTTTAGCTACACTCAGGCTTTAACCTCTTCCTGTTGCTGAGCTGCCACATATATGCTTCTATATGTAAACAGTTTACTGTGCTGAGAGCACATTAACTAAACCGTCACAGAAAGCTCCTGATGGATACTTGTGATCGGGAGCATATGATCATGTGTCTGCTGTGACAGTTAATCACAGCAATCACATGATCAGAATGCCTGCCTCCTCCTTCTGGCATTTTGGTCCACTTAAAGCAGGAGTTTCCAAACTGTGGCCTGCAGGCTGGATGTGGCCCTTTGTTTGCCTTTATCTGGCCCTTGGGCCCTATTCCTTCCACTGATACCAATGACGAAACACTGTTCCTTCCAATGACACCAGTGATGGGGCACTATTCCTCCCAGTGATACCAATGATGGGGCTCTATTCCTTCCAGTGACACCAGTGATGGGGCATTATTCCTCCCAGTGATACCAATGATGGGGTTCTTTTCCTTCAAATGACACCATTGATGGGGCATTATTCCTCCCAGTGATACCAATGATGGGGCTCTTTTCCTTCAAATGACACCATTGATGGGGCATTATTCCTCCCAGTGATACCATTGATGAGGCACTATTCCTTCCACTGACACCAGTGATGGAGCACTATTCTTCCCACTGATACCAATGATGGGGCACTATACCTTCCAATGACACCAATGATGGGGCACTAATTCTACCACAGACACCAATGATGTAATTTTTGTTTACCCCCACCGACCACCAAGCCTATGACATTGCTTACTCCTACCAATGCCAGGGAATTTTTTACCCCCACTGGCCACAGTCCGGCCTCCTCTAAAGTCTGAAGGGCAGTAAACTGGCCCTTTGCTTAAAAAGTTTGGAGACCCCTGACTTAAAGGGTCGGGAGGCAGCAGGGGGGAAGGTGTTAATAGCTGACAGACTGGAGCTTTGGGAAAAGGAGGGGCGCTGGAGCAGGGAGTCAGGTAAGTAATACAGCCCCTTCTACACCTCCCTAGACTTAACTAGCAGTTAACCCTTGCAGTGCGGAAGTTGGACTTTAAACCAAGGTCTTGATAAAGGGCGGGGCACCCAAAACCACTGTTCCTTGTGTAAGATTTAAGATTTTGCAAACAGCAATGGGTTAGCCCCTAATTATTCAACAGTGTGTAGACCTGCAAATCACTCCTTTATGTTTTTGTGGCCTCATGTGCATTCACAGCCGTTAGTAATATCACAATTGCAGCCTGAATTTTAGTGCTATTATCAACTTACATACGCAGTTTGAGCTTGTTGCTCCCATTAACAAAATACGCAGAGACCTTGGCTTCATTGAACTGAAATAATTAAATCACCCAAAATAAATTTCTGTCTTAAATAATACTACATACAAACATTTTATTACACAATGTTCAGAGATAAATAATCTTTTCATTGTTTTCACACCTGTTTTCTTGGCTCTCCATCACTTAATCAACCAGAACTCCGCACAGAGGGCTCTTGTCTGGAATAATAGAATAGAGCTCACTGACGTCATCCCATACTCTCTGGTTATAAACAAGGTTCCTTGTCATTGGTAGTGCAGAACAGCTCACTGATTGTATACAAATATTGGAACTTGGCTCATGGACACAATACTAACTACAGACTTTAAATGACATGCCAGCAGATCTAATAAGTTAAAGGATATGTTCACTTTTTTAAAATAAATAAATAAATGCACATCTTTTTGCAGATAAAAAAAATGTTCATTTTTTTTTTCTAAGGAGCCTGCAGAGCATTGCACCCATGATCAGCAGATTGCAGGTGCAATGTCAGGCTCCTGCAGACTCTCATGTTAGCTCCTTGTACAGGCAGGCAGTTGTTTGACTGCAGGAAGATCATTGAACTATGAGAGATATCACCAGCGCTCTTGTAGTTCATTGAGAACTATAAATCATCGTCTGCAATGGCTGATGGTACTTGTAGTTTATTCATTCACAGGAAACTGGGAATGAATGACACGGCCGTGTGGGAGGACCCCAAAATAGCCATGCTGGTTTTCCAAATTGTGACTACAGATGCGGAGAGAATATCCCCTGCTCGCTGTCACAGAGGTAAGGGGATCAGGGGTTCATGCTGAACATGTTACATCCTAAATATGGGTGTAACTTGTAACATGTTCAAAAGGTGAAATTAGCCTTTAAATAAACAATGTCACCTTTCCCATTTAGGTACCCAGCTACCCAGGCATGTATATTTTTCCAGACACACTCCCTCACTACTTCGCTACAGTGCCAGAGCCCCTGCTATGGTAAGGGTTTTCCGAGTATGGGGGAGAACATGATCTGAAATTTGTGACAGTGCTGCAGTCTCAGTGGCAAATTAGATCCTAAGACTGTCATGTGAGGAGGTCCATGACCTCATCATGCTGTACATGCTCCAGCATCATTGGACATGGACTGTAGACAGACTGGGCTGCTGCAGAGGGCAGGTTAGGGAGGGAATGTGGTTGGGTAAGTAAACGTGCCCAGGGATTGGGCTAAGTAAGCATGCCCAGGGATTGGGCTAAGTAAACATGGCTAGGGATGGCTAAGGGATTGGGCTAAGTAAACATGCCCAGGGATTGGGCTAAGTAAACATGCCCAGGGATTGGGCGAAGTGTTGACACACCGTGACTGTATCTCTAAAAATGTTAGCTTCTTCTATAATTAAATTAAAGGACATTCATAACTACAACATGTCATCACTCTAAGGATTGTTATGATGTAAAAACAACAGATTGGTTTCCATAGGCAGCATACGCATGGGCAATTTGGCTTAGCACAAAGTGCATCCAGCATGTGGACAATCGCGAATAGCTGCGGCCACCGGAAACTGGTCATTCTAGTGAACAGGCTCATTGGCCTGCTATCCGCTCACATCAGCAGCAGGAAATCAGTATTTCCTGCCACTGCTATTCGCACCAGGCCATATTGCCCATGCAAATGCTGCCTTGGGCAGCACTTTTTTTGAATTTTCCTTTCTCTTCGTATTATTATACAGACTTATTGTTATGTGTATTTGTGGCCAGCGGATAATATAATTATAGCAAGCATATGACAATCTTTGAAAAAATAACAATCTGCCTATGTTTTTTTTTCCCAAGATGGCTTAGAAAATCTAATTTTCATTAATTTGAACAACAACCAGCTTGAGCACATTCCCTCAGAAATTTACAAGTAAGTCCACAACAGTTTTTGAGCTATGCTAACTTTGGGACTCAATCAATGCTTAAAGTAGGCCTCTGCTTCCTGCAGGGCTGAGTTACGGAACGGCGTGCTGATAAGTCTTGTTCTTTAAGGTTGCAGCGTCTTGAAAAACTCAGCATTAACCATAATCTTCTGAAAGACATTCCTAAAGAGTTGTGTGCCCTGCAAAACCTACAGGAATTACACTTTGGAAACAACAAGTTGGAGATGTTGCCGGAGCAAATAGGCTATTTAACCAATCTGAAGGAGCTGCATGTCTATCGCAACAATCTGATTGGCCTGCCTGAGGTGAGTAAAGTTGGGCTTACACAAAAACATCATCAATATGAGGTAAAGGGGGGACAATCTCTACTCCGAAAGAACAAGGCAGTATACCATTCCATATGCTGGGCTAACAACTGGTCTTTTAATTACAACTCCAATGGGTAATACTCAAGCTTTGTGGTGTTGCATGGAGTTTGTATGCTCTTATTGTGCTACTTCCTTTATTTTACCCAGTTTGCACCTGCAATTCAAAACTTTGAATTCATGTTCACAGTTGCCACTTACAATATCAACCCCTGACCAGGGAGCCAGCAGACTGTATTATTATTTTACCGACCCAGCATTTCTTTGTATAATTTACTTCAACCACAGTTGTTATTTTTTTTATATTATTGTTGAGTATTTCCAATAAAGAACACAAGACTGTAATTTTGGTATTGCTTTTATATAGTTATTGTGATGCACTGTAAATATTACTTATTGACATGCATACAATTTAAAAAAAAAAGTCTCTAAGGCTGCATTCGCACCAGAATGTTGCATTTTTTGGACATTTTTCCAAGCATTTTGTTGCACATTTTTGCATGTTTTTATACAGCATCTTTAAAGTGTTTTTGAGCCTTTTTTTTTATTAGCCAATGCAGAAAAATATAATCTGTTTTATCATTTGTTGCTATGTTTTTCAGCTTTTTCATCTGCTTCCTCTTCTTCTTCCTGGCATTTATTTATTATTATTTGTTTAAATGTATTTTGTTAGGGGTTTTGTTTTATTTATCTATTATTTATTTATGTATGATTAATTCAATATTTTTTGTTATCTGTATTTTGTTTTTTTTTATTTTTATTTCATTTGAGTATACAAAAATGCGCATCTGACAAAATGCGTAAAAAATGCTTAAATGCACAAATCACACATTTCATTGCATTTCTATGGGACAAAAAATCTTCAAAAACACAATCTGCCCAAATTGAGCTAAAAAAGTAGCTCCAAAACTATTTTGGCTTCAGGTAACTTACAATGGAAATGGAATCCACTCCATAGAAATGCATTGAATTTCTCTGCTCTGGTATTGGAGGTTCAAGCTATAAAATGCTCAGTTGGGTGCTACAAGTTGTAGACACGAAGAGATACATACATTCAGCATTTACACTCCTAAAACACCAAAAATATTTTTAGGTTGAATTTAATTTATTGGTCAAAATACCGGTATGTATTTTTTTGCAATATATTGCCTATATATCTTAGTTGTTATCTCTAATAGGGTCTTTGCAAGTTGAGGAAGCTAAGAATCTTGGATGTTGCAGGAAATCAGATTCAGTCCTTTCCATCCCATGTGAGTAAACTACTATGTTGTATGGAAAACCTACAGCTTACACAATGGAGGGTGCCATTATATTGACTGGGCCAATGTTTACTATAGTCATGACACATAGCTCCTGGTATCTTAAAATGAAAAGTGGCCATTTAAGCCACGCTCAGTATTTGCCTAAACCCATCAAAATCTGAATGTATTCGGTTAGCTGAGGTGGTTTGAGAACAGAATGGTATTTTAGTGTCTAGAATTTTGATCTTGTGTTGGTATTTCTAGGTGTCCATTCATCTAAGCCCCCTTGATCTGTGTTCCACATATGCTAGGATATATTTTGACACACTGCGGCCACAGGGGCGCAATTGATATATTTTATTATGGATCTGTTCTAATTAATTTTAAGATTTTATAGTTTTTAGCATGTATATGTTATGTGAAATAATGGGGGAACCCTATGCTAGTTTGCCATGTCTTACCGCTATTGGTCTTATTGGGTACTATGTAAATTTAACTCCTCCGGCTTATTGGGGTGGATGGCTATAAAAGAATTTCAAAGATGGCTGCGGCTGAGCTTCCTGAGGACGCAATTTGCAAAACGCATTGAGGCCAAGCCGTTGTGCGTTACTTCGGGTGATGGATCGAGTCGTGGAATGCACGCTGACTCAGGTTGTGTGAACGGTGGTGTGGAGCATCTGTTTCTGCTTTCTGAGGGTGCCAGATGGCTCCGGAATATGTGAGTGCACTACTTTTCTGTATCTTTCTCGATTTCTCCAAGATACGCACGTTCCTCACCCCAGACACTACTAAACAACTCGTACACTCCCTCATTATCTCACGCCTGGACTACTGCAACTCCCTTCTCACTGGCCTACCCAAACAAATGCTATCCCCACTTCAGTCTATCCTGAACTCAGCGGCTAGACTCATCCACCTCACCAATCGCTCCACATCTGCCACCCCCCTCTGCCAATCCCTTCACTGGCTCCCGATTGCCCAACACATTAAATTCAAATTACTAACTCTGACATACAAAGCCATTCACAACACTGCCCCAAACTACCTAACTGACCTGATACCCAAATACTATCCTACCCGTGCCCTTCGCTCCTCACAGGACCTCCTACTTTCCAGCTCCCTGGTCTCCTCCTCCCACGCCCGACTGCAGGACTTCTCCAGGACTTCCCCCATCCTCTGGAACTCCCTACCCCAATCCATCAGACTGTCACCTACCCTCCTCACCTTCAGGCGCACCCTAAAAAACCCATCTCTTCAGGGAAGCCTAGCCCAACCTCACCTACCAACCGATCTCCTCCACTCCTCCTACCACTCCATCCCCCACAGCCACTTCCTCCTGTACCACCATCCCCCTCCCTCCTAGATTGTAAGCTCGAAAGAGCAGGGCCCTCGAACCCCTCGTGTATTGTATTGTACTGCATTGTCTCATGTTCTATCCACCTCGCTAATGTACAGCGCTGAGCACACCCTTCGGCGCTATATAAATACTGTATAATAATAATAATTTTTAATAAAATGGCTACACTATAGAACATCTCTTTTTTGAGTGTTTGTGCTGTCTCATCCTGATCGCAAAAGTCTACTGTGTAGAAGACTGTGAAGACGTTGGTCAATTCGGTCATTCTGATATAACTGAATATGATTTGCCTTCTTATATGCCATATCTGATGAGTTATTACTCTCACTGCATGCGGTGGATATTTGCATAAGTGGATTAATCATTTCTTGAACACATGGTGTGGATGAAAATTTTTTTTATGGAATTTAACATATGGACTTTTTCTTTATGGACAATTTTAAATTTGATTTGACACTGTGGTGATATTGATTGGGATGTGTTATTAGTATTTATATTAGTAGTGATCATTTTAATAATTGTTATGAGTAGTGCCTTTCCTTCTTAGGTTAAATGTTTATAGTGTTTTTTTTTTCACTTGTAAAGGCAGCTTCTCCTTATTTATAAGTTAAAGTTGGAGGTGGCATCCCAATTCTTCTGTTTAGGTCTTTTAGAATAATTGTCTATGAAGTTCTGAATTTTTGCAGGTGGTAGAGCTGCCCATTCGTCTTGGCAAAATGCCTCTAGGTCAGCAAAGTCCTTGGTTGTCTTGCATGAACTACATGTTTGAGATCCCCCAGAGTGGCTCAAAGATATTAAGGTCAGGAGACTGTGATGGTCACTCCAGAACCTTCACCTTTTTCTGCTGTAACCACTGGAGGGTCAACTTGGCCTTATGTTGAGGGTCATTGTTATGCTGGAAAGTCCAGAAGAATGCAAATTGTCTGCCAGTATTTTATGATAACATACTGCATTCATCTTGCAAACAGTTTTCACAAGATTCCTTGTGCCTTTAGAGCTCACCCCCCCCCCCCAAAACATCAGTGAGCCACCACCATGCTTCACAGTGGGGATGGCATTCTTGTCGCTATAGGTATTGTTGACCTCTCTCCAAACTTTGTGCTTATGCTTATGACCATAAAGTTGTATTTGGTCTTGTCACTTCAGGTTACAGTGTGCCAGAAGCTGTGAGGTGTGTAAGGAGTTGCTAGCATAGTGCAACCAGGCTTTTTTGTGGCATTGGCACAGTAAAAGCTACTTTCTGGCAACTCGGCCATGCAGCTCAGTATCTCTCCTCCTGAAGTTACCTGTGGGTTTTTTCTTTATATCCCAAACAATTCTTCTGGCAGTTGTGGCTGTAATCTTTCTTGGTCTGCCTGAACTTCATTTGGTATCAAGAGATCCCTGAATTTTCCACTTCTTAATAAGAGGTTGAACAGTAGTGACTGGCATATTCAGGGTTTTGGATAGCTTTTTAAATCTTTTTACATCTTTATAAAGTTCTATTACCTTGTTACACAGGTCTTTTGACAGTTCTTTTCTTTTCCCAATGGCTCAGTATCTAGCCTGCACAGTGCATCTACATGAGAGCTAGCAAACTCATTGACTATTTATACACAGACACTAATTTCAATTTAAAAAGCATCAGATGTGGGGAAAATTGACCTTCAATTGCCATTTTAACCCATGTGTGTCTGTACCAAGTCCAAACATTCCAGGGGATGTAAACTTTTGATTCGGGCCATTTGGGTGATTTTTGTTATCATTATGATGTAAAAAGAAGCCAAACAACTATGTGATAATAAATGGCTTCATATGATCATCATCCTTCAATAAAAGAGAATTTTTGGCATGATCAGTCATATTTTCAATATCAATGCCAACATTTCACGATTTTTGCCAGGGTATGTAAACGTTTGAGCACAACTGCATACACATAAACTCACTCTTAATCCTGATACAGAAAAATCTGTCTTTTCTTACTTCTATATGTAAGTACAGTGGACAGTAAGGTGGACATGACCTGTGTTGAATACTGAGGGTAATGTTTTATTGTCCCTTTTTCTAGGATAAAACCTTGTAAGGGGTATCTTTTACTATAATGATAAAGTGTAAGTTCACCATCAACATTTTCCAAAAATAACCCTATGCAATTCCATATCGTCCAAGTACATATAAGCGCTCCTCCTGCTTCAAATGCCGCACCTCCTCCCCTTACACTTACAGCTGTGGGAAGGGACCTCTTTGCAAAAAAAAATGCTGGCTCTTGATCCCCCTGCAGCCTGCCAAACTGGCTAAACACCACAGTGTGCTCCCCCTAGCATTGGGCTATTCAAACTGTGCTTGTGCGCTCTCTTCTTCTCTGTCTGCAGAGGCTAAGTTCAGCTAGAGAAGAAGAACAAGCACTGTACTCATGCGCAGTTTAAGCAGCCCAGATTGTCTGCTACTAAGCTCATCTAGAGAAGGAGAGCATTCACTTTAACTACTTGCCTACAGGGCACTTATACCCCCTTCTTTACCAGGCCAATTTTCAGCTTTCAGCGCTGTCACACTTTGACAATTGCGTGGTCATGCAAGATTGTACCCATATGAAATTTTTATAATTTTTTGTCTCACAAATAGAGCTTTCTTTTGGTGGTATTTAATCGCCACTGGGCGCTTTACTTTTTGCGCTATAAACAAAAAAAAGTGCAATAATTTGAAAAAAAAAAAATTTCTTTGTTTCTATTATAAAACTTTTCAAAGAGGTAATTTTTCTCCTTCACTGATGTGCGTTGATGAGGCAGCACTAATGAGGTGTCACGGATAGGCGGCACTGATGATGGGTACTGATAGACAGCACTGATAAGTGGCACTGCTGGCCACTGACTGGTACAACCACTGGGTACTGACTGGTGGCACTGACTGGCAGCACTGCATTGATGGGCACTGGTGGGTGGCACTGGTGGGCACAGGTGGGTGGCACTGGTGGGCACAGGTGGGTGGCACTGGTGGGCACAGGTGGGTGGAACTGGTGGGTGGCACTGCTGGGCACCGATCATCAGTGCCCTGATGATCGTTGCCGATCCCTGCTCTGACAACTGCCGGTTCTCGGCAGTACTTTCCTCTCGCTCTGACAACGTGAGGAAAGTGCAGCCGAGAATCGGCAATTGCATTTCCCGGTGATCAGCATGTCATTGGACATGGCTGATCACATGGTAAAAGGCTGCTGTGATTGGCCTTTTACCACATCACGTGATCAGCTGTGTCCGTAGGACACAGCGATCACGGAAATCGCCGGGTGCACGCCCCCGGGGGCGCGCGCAGGAGAGCGCATTCTGGGAGGACGTCATATGACGCCCTTCCAGAATCGGCCGTCTGCAGTGTAGCCGTCATTCGGCTATCTGCAGTTGGCAAGTAGTTAAGTACCAAAGTGATAGAATTTGACTTCTGTGGAACTAAGCAGATGTGGCCCTCCTCAGTAGACATAAGGTAGCCCATTGTAGTTTAATTCCCCTAATGCAGGCCATACATGGTTTGAATTCCGAACAATTTTTTGTCCGAAAATCGAAAATGTTGTGTGCTCGAAAATCTGATGGTGCCATCAATGATTTCGAAAATCGGCTGACCAAGTCATAAAGTTCACTCCATGTAACAGGCGAAACTTCTGTTTCTTCCAGGTCATGGCTCATGCGTATATTCTTTTCGGAAAAACGATCGTATGATTTGACCATCATTGAGTCGAAACTCGGTAGTTTTTCACAAATTTTCCAACATGCCCGATAACCAAAAAGGGGAAGAACCACGAAAATCGGCCAGTGCCATTGACCCACTAACAGAGCAAAAATCAGCTGATTATTCTTAGGTCTGATTTTTAGATGAAAAATCAGTTGAATTTTGACCCATGTAAGTTCTCTTCCATATGAGTTTAACATGCCTGGTATACATTATGTCAGGATGCTGTTCTGATCAAAAGATTAATAGTCAGACTGACATTTTTGGCAACTGACTAATTTTTGTCATCCTGTTTTAATAATCATTTGGTTCGCACAGATGCATGAGATTCCACTGCTAGAACTGTACTGTGAAGAGAACCCTCTGCTAAAGAGAGAGCCTGTGAGCGCCATTCAAGATGAAGAAATTCTATCCCTGAAGGTGAATATGGACCAAAAACATAAGAAACACTACAGCTTATATTGAATATTGCTGTTAATATAAAGGATCAAAACTTTCTTTCCACCAGTACAGACATTAGAGGACGGGTTGATGATGCCCTTGTTTTGCATAAAGCAGAAAGTACAGCCAAAACAGAGGTTGAAGGTATTACATTTGGGTGTCCTGTGTCCTCATTAGACAACGGTGGGAGCCTGCACGAGAGAAAACATTCCAAATCTTGTCCAAAGTGTAATTTTTCTTTTTTTTTGGGTGTTGTATTTTCTTCGTTGTTTTATTTTCTTCAGTGCACCACAGACAGAAGGAAAGTCACCTGGAGCTGGCAATGCTATTTTATTGCCACCTGTTCACAAAAGATATATACAGATATGGTCTACAATTCTACAGTTTGTCAGGAAGGACATACAAACAATGCATGAAGGATTGCTCTTAGACCTTTTTCTAACAACCAATTGTAAAAGAAAAATTCTGCATCGACCAATCCAATTCTTGCTTTAGATCCCTTTTTAGATTATGGGAAAACTAAATGGGAAATGTGAATGGCACATTTCATACATCCATAGAGATGTATGTAGGCTTATGGTCCTCTTATAAAAAAATGATGTGTGCAAAGAAGAACAATAGTTATTTTATTTCAATCTGATTCAGAGAAGAGAGCTGGATAAAATGCCGTGCTAAAGCTGGGTACTGTTAAATAGTAATTCTAAATTCATAATTCGACACTTGTAGGACTTATATTTATGGCAAGATTGCAAAATATTTGGTTTTATGAATAATCATAATTAATATTAAAATGTGTGGTTGGCCTTGAACAAGTGATAGTGTTGAATTCATCCGTTATAGCTGAGCCAGAAAAATGTCAGAGTATTTGGAGTAAAGTTAACTAGCTGGAAGCTGAGTATTTAGGTCATTTCTGTAGCTGGGCATAGCTGGTTAGAAGATCTCTAGTGTAGGGTGTCATAGGAGTCAGAAGCAGGGGCAGACTGACCATTTGGTAACTCGGGCACTGCCCGAGGGCCCAGGGTCAGCAGGGGGCCCCATGAGATGCCCCTGGTACCTTTTTCATAGGCTTTTTTTGTTTGAGCAAGGACACAGAGGCCCCCATGATCCCCTATTGCCCGGGGGGGCCCCATGAGTTGTCAGTCCACCCCTGGTCAGAAGTGAACCAAAACAGAATTAGTATGAAATAGTATATTATAGTAGTATCTATGTGTATTAAATGTATGTTTTATAAGTTGTAATATATGTTACATAAGTAGATTTTTGGTTATACAACATTATTGAGAAAATATGTTGTAAAGATAGATTCTTAGTTATACTATTCTTCAAACAGAGAAACTGGTCACATGAGTAGGCTGATACAACATTGTCTTCTTTAACTTATGGAGCCACATTTTATATCAAGAATAGAGTGTTACATATGGGCTTGTCAATCAGAAGACCATATATATATATATATATATATACAGTCATGGCCGAAATTGTTTGGCACCCTTGATATTTCTCCAGGAAATCATGTATTTCTCACGAAACGTATTGCATTAACACATGTTTTGCTATACACATGTTTATTCCCTTTGTGTGTATTGGGACAAAACAAAAAAAGGGAGGAAAGAAAGCAAATTCGACATAATGTCACACAAACCTCCAAAAATGGGCTGGACAAAAGTATTGGCACCCTTTCACAACTGCGGATAAATAAGAATGTTACAAGCATGTGATGCTCCTGTAAACTCACCTGGGGCAAGTAACAGGTGTGGGCAATATAGAAATCACACCTGAAAGCAGATAAAAAGGAGAGACGTTCACTTAACCTTTGCATTGTGTGTCTGTCTGTGCCACACTAAGCATGGACAACAGAAAGAGGAGACGAGAACTGTCTGAGGACCTGAGAACCAAAATTGTGGCAAAATATCAACAATCTCAAGGTTACAAGTCCATCTCCAGAGAACTAGATTTGCCTTTGTCCACAGTGCGCAACATTATCAAGAAGTTTGCAACCCATGGCACTGTAGCTAATCTCCCTGGTCGTGGACGGATGAGGAAAATTGATGAAAGATTGCAACGCAGAATAGTCCGGATGGTGGATAAGCAGCCCCAAACATGTTCCAAAGACATTCAAGCTGTCCTGCAGGCTCAGGGAGCATCAGTGTCAGCGCGAACTATCCGTCGACATTTAAATGAAATGAAACGCTATGGCAGGAGACCCAGGAGGACCCCACTGCTGACACAGAGACATAAAAAAGCAAGACTACAGTTTGCCAAAATGTACTTGAGTAAGCCAAAAGCCTTCTGGGAAAACGTCTTGTGGACAGATGAGACCAAGATAGAGCTTTTCGGTAAAGCACATCATTCTACTGTTTACCGAAAACGGAATGAGGCCTACAAAGAACAAAACACAGTACCTACGGTAAAATATGGTGGAGGTTCAATGATGTTTTGGGGTTGTTTTGCTGCCTCTGGCACTGGGTGCCTTGACTGTGTGCAAGGCATCATGAAATCTGAGGATTACCAAAGGATTTTGGGTCGCACTGTAGGGCCCAGTGTCAGAAAGCTGGGTTTGCGTCCAAGATCCTGGGTCTTCCAGCAGGACAATGACCCCAAAACATACGTCAAAAAGCACTCAGAAATGGATGGCAAAGAAGCGCTGGAGAGTTCTGAAGTGGCCAGCAATGAGCCCAGATCTAAATCCCATTGAACACCTGTGGAGAGATCTTAAAATTGCTGTTGGGAAAAGGTGTCCCTTCCAATAAGAGAGACCTGGAGCTGTTTGCAAAGGAAGAGTGGTCCAAAATTCCGGGTGAGAGGTGTCAGAAGCTTATTGATGGTTATAGGAAGCGACTGATTTCAGTTATGTTTTCCAAAGGGTGTGCAACCAAATATTAAGTTAAGGGTGCCAATACTTTTGTCCAGCCCATTTTTGGGGTTTTGTGTGACATTATGTCATATTTGCTTTTCTGCCTCTGTTTTTATATTTGTTCCAATACATACAAAGGGAATAAACATTGTATAGCAAAACATGTGTTAATGCAATACCTTTTTTGTGTGAAAATACTTGATTTTCAGGAAAAATATCAAGGGTGCCAACAATTTCGGCCATGACTGTATATATATATATATATATATATATATATATAACCTCCCTTCAACGAAATCGCTCTACTAAACAGAATTGTTTGCCATACAAGGTTCTGAGTTATGAGAATTTATGATGTCTTCATGTACATGAAAAGACACAAAACGCATATATACACACGTCCGTCATTCACACACATACATACAGACACACAGATACTGACAAGCAAGACACAAAGACACATTTGTATGGTTATTCACATACTGACAAGCTGAAACAGGTGCATTCTCTTAGAGCCCAAAGATCACGTCACTTCCTGCTTCTTGCTCAGACTCAGTTGCATTGAACAGACAAGAAGCACATGGCAGGACAGCCATGACTCTAAGCTTGACACACTACTACTGTTCTTATATTTTTGTTGTACCTACACTGAACTGTTATTCATGATAGGTTTTTACATTGTATTTTTAAGCCATTGTGTGATACAATAAAATCACACTTTATTTTTATTGCATTGGCTCTTTAATTATCTGAAATCGCCCAAAGACACTAAAAATTATTATATGTGTCCCAGTACTGCTTAGACCTGAAGAAGGGGACATTCCCCGAAAGTTTGTCCTCAAAATTGTATGTTAGTGCAAATAAAAAAGTATCATGGACAGTACTCAATTATTCCTGTCGCAAATGCACCAATATGGCTACAATCACCTCAATCTATATGTGTCCCAGAAAATTGTACAGGTACACACTGTCCAAAAATTGGCCGATTCAGCAGGAGCTGGCCAACTCTTGCTCAGTGTATACAGCAGACTGGCTTTTATCAAAGGGACATGTTGGAAAACCAGCTTCCTATCAGCACTTGCAACATCGCTTGTGTTGGTATGGCAAACTGACAGTGGAGCTGATTCATCCCCTATAACAGAGAATATTGTCTGTCCCTACCTATTATTATATTAGCTCTGTGCATGTGTGATGCAAATGGCATTATTATCTATAGGCAGACCTGTCCTTGGCCCAACATGCTTTGCATGGCAATTTAGAGCTAATAGTAGCTAATGTGATGAAAACTACTTCAAGCTATGCAGGGTGCTTAATTGTTTTTCTCAATAGACATAAATCCACTTTGTGTACACCAAATGCCTTTACAAACCCAGTTATTACTTTGCAAAGGAAGTAGTGTTATCACTGTAATAATAAAAAAGAACCTCAGAATAATAGTGCCAATGAATAATAACTGCTAATGAATAAGCAAATAAATCCTGAGAGCAGTACTCACCACTATCCACACAAAGGATAATACCGCTATGCAGAAAATCATATAAAAATGTGTTGCGCCCTCAACTACATGGATCAATAAATACACATATACATCAATTCATAATGGACGAAACATATAGGGTGGGACTACAGGGGTGCCGTCATCATGCCAGCCAGGGTGCTGAATGCAATGTTTGTGATATGCTGTTTTTTGCTATCATAATGTAAGTAGATACCTGGTTTTTTTTATTATATTTGCTTTAAATGCTACACTATGGGTGATTTTCCTTTCATATGATATATATGATGTTCCTGATTGCAGGATTGCCTCTGTTGTGACAGAGAGATTCGTACCTTGCATTTGGTGGGATTTTTAAGGCAACCTTAGAATATATAAACCAAACAATTTTTTAAAAGAAGATTTGACAGTTTATCTGACACATCAATACATATTTCCCCAATAGAATATAACAATTTTTGACAACATATTTGCTTGACAATATTAGTAATTATTGCATTGGAAAATTAGCGGTATCTCTTGAAGCTGATTTTCATCTTGCAACCTTGAGGGAACCACAAGTGCATTCAGCCTATATCCAACTGTTTCGAATACTTTAGTGCAGATTCTTCCTCAGGGAAAGGATACCGCTCTAAAACATTTCTCAATAGTTAAACCTTTATACATATTGTGTATGATCCAAGAATTGAGAAACCAACTTTACAAATTTTACATACCACCAAGATTGGTCAAACTGAAGATGCTTTGCTGTGTTTTTTTGGAGAGTGAATCCCCCCATGTGTAGGATGAAATCATCTCTTGGCATGCCTCTGTTGTGATGGATCTGGGAGTGGTGGTATAAGCCTTGCAGGCTTTATTCCATCCATTCATCCTGGTGGTTCTTATTGGAAGCGTTATCTGACAACCTGGTGTTGGAGGTCTTATTTTATTATAAGCAGCAGTGGTGTCACTGGTGGCTGGTGCACAGAGGTGTTGGAGACTGGGAGCGTTTTTATCAGATCATTGGCAGCTCTTTTCTACATGGTGATTCACACAGGCTTTTCTTTTGATGAACTGGTTCTGTTGGATTCCTGATATATGAAATATTGAACTTATTATTATTTATTCAATGTGTGTATGTATGTATGTATGTGTGTGTGTGTGTGTATATGTATATGTGTGTGTGTGTGTGTGTGTGTATGTATGTATGTATGTATGTATGTATGTATATATATATATATATATATATATGTAAGTGTGTATATATATATATATATATATATATATATATATATATGTGTGTATGCATGTGTGCTTGAGGTTTAAAAAAAAAATTCAGTCACTTTATTGTATTATTTATGCATATTTGTGATATTGTGAAATTATGTATTTATTGATCCATGTAGTTGACGACACAACACATTTTATATGATTGAGTGATATTACTGTGTTGCAATTTAGCAGCCTGTGCCGAGGGCAGAACTGTAAGAGGGACGCAGCAGATCAACCCACTACAGGCTGCCAGAGGAAACTTCAGGAAGGGGCAGATACAAGACTAGTTACACTGACCACAGAGAAAGCAGCAGTAATCAGACTTTATTACAGGAAGGTACATGCTGCATTCCAGCGTAGGTCTAGAAGAAATACACAAAGCGCACCAAGATTCAAGTAAACATACACATGCTATTTAGATAATATATACTGATCCTGGAGTTCAGGTTTAAGCTTACCTTTTGTTTGTCTTTTAATTTAAAGAGTAACTCCACTTTTGTTGAGAAAAAAACAGTTCCCTCTTTGTGATCTATGTACATTGCAGGGATTTTAACAAACTTTGTTGCAGATTCTTACCTGGTTCTGCTCTGATGAAATAACTCATGTCTTGTTCAGGACTGAATCTGAATGGGAGTGACTTTTAAATGTTTGATTAGCTGATGCACTTGCAGTGTTCTAATGAGGAAAGTTGAAGTGTCTGCATCCTTTTAGAAGTGACTAATCCATTAGGAGCATCTCACCAAAAAAATGTTTAATGCAAACATTTTTTTTTAATTTTTGTTGCAGAGGATGCCTAAAACCTGACTTGTATCATAGTTCAGATTTCTGGGGAAATCGGTGAGCCATTCACACAAGTAGGAAATGACATCTCAGGGGGCATTCCGTACACCAGCTGTGTATAGAACGCATCGAGGTTGCCATATTGCATTGAAAATTACAGCGCTGCAGATTGAAAAGGAAATATAATTTTGAATAACAATAAATTACAATATGGCTTACATCAGTTATATACGCTATAATATTTTTTTCTTAATTTACAGTATTTTTCCCCATGAAAGTGGCGATACCCTTTAAAGATTAGCAGTTTATACAAAGTTGCATTCATCCAGTAAAGTGAACCTGACCTGGCCTTAAGGGATGGTTCACACTATGAAGCACACAGGAATGTGCTGTGTGTCCCTGCATGATGCACGTGATCCGGGAGCAGTGCCATTTCAGCTCATTCATTTGAAATTGTGCTAGACATCACCAAAGTAGTTCATGAACTACTTTAAAAAATGCATAGCAACTGGATCCCATGGTACTATGGCACTGCTGTACAATGCGATCCGGTGCAGGCAAAGGCATTGCGTTTACGGCCTGCATTTGGGGTGTTGATAAGTTAACTCTGACATCCGATGCAGATTGCAAGTGCAGGGTGCTTTGACCATGGTGTGGCAGAGGCGCAAAAAATTCAGGTTTCCCACACCGCGCTCTGATGTGAACTGGCCATAAAAAGGTAACCATACAAAAGTGCAGACAGCATGTGGTAACTGGTAAACAGAGTAAAAAGTGAGCGCTAATCAGTTCAGCAGCTGTACACTCAAGGCAACCAGTAAAACCTCAAATAGTATCAAAGAAATAGTGCAGCGCTTAAATTAATAGTCCTCAGTAATTCCCGATCAGTGGATGTTCCTCAATAAGGAATGTAAGAAATGCCCACTCACCGGAACTACACTTGATACAGTGCAGTGTATGAATATGATTCCCTGGTGTCACTGGAAGTGTACATCTGGTTCAGCCCTTGGAAGAGTATCCCTCTTTAGATCAGGCAGGTCCAGGATCACAGCAATTTAGGCTCTGACACAGAGTTCCCCTTAAGGGATGTATGGGTGTTGCTTTTACAGTAGTAGAAACCTCCCACTCTGGATGGATTCGGAGTAACACAGCTTCTGGAAAAAAGTACTCCCCATGCGGGGTTAAAGCAAAAAGGTGCCCACAGTGTGATAAAGTTTGAATAAAGCGAATTTTATTTGAAAGAACAAAGGATGCATTCAATGGATATCAATAGGAACGGCAGATAGCAACAAAACACTAACCGTCCCTAGAAGGAAATGGCCGCCGGAGCTCCACGATGCTCCGACGGCGTGACGTCAATGGCGCGAGCAGGCTCTTCCTTACGCGTTACGTGCCACGCACATCGTCAGAGGGCTCACCCTCTGACGATGTGCGTGGCATGTGCGTCAACGGCGCGAGCAGGCTCTTCCTTACGCGTTACGTGCCACGCACATCGTCAGAGGGCTCACCCTCTGACAATGTGCGTGGCATGTAACGCATAAGGAAGAGCCTGCTCGCGCCGTTGACGTCACGCCGTTGGAGCATCGTGGAGCTCCGGCGGCCATTTCCTTCTAGGGACGGTTAGTGTTTTGTTGCTATCTGCCGTTCCTATTGATATCCATTGGATGCATCCTTTGTTCTTTCAAATAAAATTTGCTTTATTCAAACTTTATCACACTGTGGGCACCTTTTTGCTTTAACCCCGCATGGGGAGTACTTTTTTCCAGAAGCTGTGTTACTCCGAATCCATCCAGAGTGGGAGGTTTCTACTACTGTAAAAGCAACACCCATACATCCCTTAAGGGGAACTCTGTGTCAGAGCCTAAATTGCTGTGATCCTGGACCTGCCTGATCTAAAGAGGGATACTCTTCCAAGGGCTGAACCAGATGTACACTTCCAGTGACACCAGGGAATCATATTCATACACTGCACTGTATCAAGTGTAGTTTCCGGTGAGTGGGCATTTCTTACATTCCTTATTGAGGAACATCCACTGATCGGGAATTACTGAGGACTATTAATTTAAGCGCTGCACTATTTCTTTGATAGCATGTGGTAACTGTAAGCATCAAAGGTAGCTATCAAATGAATTCCTTTGTCCTCATGGAACCCCGTGGTTCATATGCCCTGTGCCTTGTCATTAAGCTGGCTCATGGAAGCTCTGTAATTTCAGTGTTGTGTGTTTATGTATTGGAGAGAACTGAGGGCCTGTGCACAGTCTGGGGCCCCAAAGGGATCAGTTTGATTTGGGTTCTTCAACACAGTTGTTACCATAATCACTTTTTAGGCCAGGTCAGATTCATTTGATATAAGTAAGTTAGGAGTACTTAGGAAAATTTATTCTTTAAAGTCAAACTGAGAGCAAATCATTAAAAAAAAAATCTAATAAAACAATTCACTCAAAGTCCATATTACTGTCTCTTTGTATCAACAATCCAGCACAGTGCCATTACTTACCTAATTAAAAGTGCTTCAATCCCAGTATTTCTTCACTTCCTTTGATGCAGTGATCACACTCCTGCACTCTTTTGAATAATCAGTGGTCACTGTTTGCATCCTTTGTGACTAGAGCACTGTCTGTGGTCATGTGATCCCTTTTCCTAGTGTGTACAGAGGAGCCTTGACGTGGGCACTGTTGCTTCCACATGTTTGCAAATGTGTTCAATTAAACCCTCTGTTTTGTAACGTCAACTTGTAGACGGGCAATTTGGTTTGTTTGCAGGCTAGCTAGTAAGTGTGCTGGGATTTTTTTTTTTTCGGTTTCTTTGTGATTTGTGTTGCCCTTCCATGTGCACCTTGCTGCAAAGGCTAGTTATAAATATAGGCAGTTGCCATATTTTTGTATAAGAACTTTCTGAGTGGCATGCATCCTCCTCCCTAATTCTGCCCTACAAATGACACCTCCCATTACAAGCAGATCATTCCTGTCCTTCTAAACCCAAAGGACTGCCCACATGAAATGCCCACTGATGGAAAAGGGCACCAAGAACTGTAGGAATTGTAGATTCAACAATATTTCAGAAGACTTCCAGAAAGCAAGATAAAGTGCACAAGAAACCTGCCTACCGTGGCTTTTTCCGTTCAGGCGGAGAAAGCGCTGGCAAGGAAAATTTCATAGATGACACGAATATTAAAAAGAGTCAGCTGGAGCTAATGCATATGTAACCTTCATTAGGATAATCTTCAGCTGTACTTTAAACTCCGATGTTTTTTATTTTCTGTACAGGAAATGACAGCAAGATTCATCTTACATCATGTACAAGACAGAGACTCCATGATACGACGGCAAATCCCCCATTATCCTGAAGCCAAGGCAATACTTTCCAGCAGGAATATCTGTACCCTGTGTGGGACGTGGTTTCTAGACATGTGGCTTGAATGTGTAAAGTTTGTAGATATAAAAAAGGTGTGTGCTATATGGACCCTATTATACTATCTACAATACTGGCCATACATGAGTAGGTTGAATGAAAGAAAATGACTCGATTCCCTCATCTATACACTCGATGTGGATGGGGGAATCCCTCCCACTGAGTTATTTTATTCTGACAGCGTGAAGACTTCCCCTCCGTCAGAATACACTAATCAGCACTGATGGCTAGAGCTGGCGGTGCTGATCGTGAGAAAATTTTCCAACAGGCTAGCTGTCAATACATGGATCGAAATTTAGCTGGTCCCTGCTGAACCAGCTGAACTTCAGTGCATGTATGGCCAGCATTAGAGTCAATGCACAGGGAATTATTTATTATATTGTGATGGTTATCATTTTCATTTAATTTCACAGTAAATGGCAGTCCACTCAACACTGAAATCTGCCATCTGGGTGGGTGCTGGAAGGAATCCGCTTAAAACAGACCAAGATAAGAAATATTGTCACCACCAGATACAGCCTGGTTGTTTCAATAGATTCCAGGTTTTCTGTGAAAAATAATTTGCCCCCTTCCTGATGTTTTTGTTTTTTGTGCATATTTGTCGCACTTAAATTATTTAGACCACTAAACAAATTTTAATGTTACACAAAAATAACTGGAGTAAATTCAAAATGCAGATTTTAAATGATGATTTCATTTATTAATTGAAACAAGCTGTCCAAACCTTCCTGGCCCTATGCAAAAAAGTAATTGCCCTCCCTTGCTAAATCATGAATGAACTGTGATTAACCACATTTTTTGGAAAGCCAAGTTAAATTTCACTTGCCACACTCAGGCCTGATTACTGCCAGACCTGTTGAATCAAGAAATCACTTAAATAGAAGCTGTCTGGCAACGTGCAGCATGTTAAAAGATCTCAAAAAGCAACAAAGCATACCACCATCTAAACAAATTCAAGAACAAATGAGAAACAAAGTAAATTGCATTTATTAGTCTGTAAACGGTTACAAAGCCATTTCTAAGGTTTTGGGACGCCGTTGAACCATGGTGAGAGCCATTATTCACAAATGGAGAAAATTTGGAATTTTGGAAGCCATTGCTGACCAAAAAGAACACAAAGGCTCAGCTCACATTTGCCAAAAAAAAACTTGATTATCCCAAAGACTTCTAGGCAAATGTTCTGTGGACTGACTAGAGAAAAGTTGAACTTTTTGGAACGTGTGCGTTCCTTTACATCTGGCACAAAAATAACACAGCATTTCTTAAAAAGAACATCATACCAACAGTCAAACATGGTGGCAGTGTGATGGTCTGGGGCTGCTTTACAGCTTCAGGAGCTGGACGAATAGCCATAATTGATGGAACTATAAATTTTATGCTCTACCAGAAAATCCTGAAGAAGAATGTCTGGCCAATTATTTCATGACCTCAAGCTCAAGCGCACTTGAATTATGCAGCAGGACAATGATCTGAAACATACTAGGAAGTCTGCCTCTGAATGGCTCAATAAAACAAAATGAAGGGTTTTGGAGTGGCCTAGTCCAAGTCCAGACTTAAATTCAATTGAGATGCTGTGAACTAGCCGTTCATGCTCCAGACCTCTCCAATGTAGCTGAATTAAAACAATTCCGCAAAGAAGAGCAGGCCAAAATTCCTCTACAGTGATATGAAAGACTCCTTACCAATTATCGTAAATGCTTGATTACAGTTGTTGCCGCCAAGGGTGGCATTAGGTTTAGGGGGCAATTTTTCACATAGGGTCAGTCAAGTTTGGACAGCTTTTTTGCCCTAATAAATGAAATCATAATTTACAAGCTGCGTTTTGCATTTACTCGGGTTATCGTTTGTGTATTATTAAAATTTGTTTGATGATCTGAATCATTTAAGTGTAACAAATATGCAAAAAAGAAAGAAAATAGGAAGAGTGAAAATACTTTTTGACAACCCTGTAAGTTAACTGGCCTTAAGTTAATCGCAAATTAGCTTTAGTTTAAATATGACTGTAATAAATTTATTGTATGATACATTATTGTAAGCTTCTTGGGGAGGGGACTAACGCGAATGGTCCTATGTACTCTGCAAGCACCGTATGAATACAGTAGGTTATTATTATTATACAGTATTTATAAAGCGCCAATAGATAAAAGTAATCTGTTCATTGTTAGGATTATAATGAATATTTATGCAATTTTCTTTCTTAAATATAATCTTCTATGCCTTATTGTATATTGACAGAAAATGAAAACCTCTAGCAATTTACAGCTTCTGCCAGTGAAGATTTTACTATGTTCATACAGATGCTTCAATCAAAGACAGAGTGATATGTTTGGAGTAGCAGTGTAGTAACACAATATGATTGTAGGATCTGTCTGTGGGATCATTTTATGGACCAATAAGAAGAATGGCAACAATAGCATGTGTAAGGGCTCATTTACACCAATGGCAGTCAACACAGTATGAATGCATATGCAAGAAAAATGAATGTATTTCAATGAGCATAGTTTACAACACTGCAATGCTTTTTAAATTCATTAAAAAGATACAGCATTTTGTTGCTCAGGAACACACTTGAACCCAACACCAATGCATGTAAATGCAGATCAGTAAATAAATAAAACATGCAAAAAAAACCCAGCACAAATTCATTACAAATGCATGCAAATGCATACGCAGACACACGTATTGAATGCAGGGGTTGTGGTGTAAATGACCACTGAAGGAATACAGTCCCTGTTTTGATTGAAATGCCATTGTTTGCTAAATATGTTGGTAATATGTAAAAAAGAAAATGTTTAGGTTGTTTGCGTTTATGCATATATGAGGTCAGCCACATTGTTTTCATGCATGTATGGGGTCAGCCACATGGAATATTCTTATAGAGAGGTCCCACTCTCTGATATTTTCTATTCATCAAATACAATGGCAACTTTAAAATAATTCAATTAATTCAGCTAGTTCCAGATTATGCTTCAGAAGAATGAAAAGAGTAAAACTAAAGGTCCAGACTGCCCTCTGATACTTGTGGGGGCGAGTACTCAATAAACAGGAAGATACAGCTCCACCAATGTTTTCTGTTTATGTCTGTGGGAGGGGGGGCAGAGAAGAAGTGGTGTGCAGGGAGACCCTGTGAGCAGTACTTATATCTGGAAGCAGAGGGGGCAGAAGGGATCAAAAGGTATTCTAACGCTTCCCATTGATTTTTCTCCCTAAAGCGGGCTTCTGCTTGCCCACATTCACCTAAGACCAGTGCCTGAGAGTTTACGTTGGAATCAAAGGTGTTTTTAATAAAATACTAGTTAATGAAGTGAAGTAACACATAATATACACTCCATCTTCAAAATGAGAATTTAGCTACACACTAAAAACCTTTCTCCGAACCTTCTGATCACTGCTAGCACAAATATCCTATAATAATATAATAAATTGTAAAGCGCTGAGCAAACTGTTGGCACTATATAAATCCTGTATAATAATAATATCCTACAGACCACCCTGCTTCTCTTTCACTTGATTGCTTTGGAACCCATGCTCTTAATTTCACACTGGGTAGGGGGCAGGGGGGAATCTAGCCAGTCTGATGTGGGGGTTGCAGCAAAAAATGTCAGAGTTGCGGAGGGTTAGCAGGGCAGTGTTTAGTGGGTCAGAAGGGCAGAGAATGGGGGATCAACAGGTGAGTGTACTGGAGTCTGTAGGGCAAAGGACAGGGATCAGCAAAGAGATGACAGGGGTCAGCAGGGCAAAGGATGGGCAGTCAGCAGGGAAGTGTACAGGAGTCTGTATGGCAGAGGATAGGGGTCAGCAGGGCAGAGGACTGTTGGTCAGTAGGGGAGTGTACAAGAGTATAGGGCAGAGGACAGGAGTCAGCAGAGAGATGACAGGGGTCAGCAGGGGAGTGTACAGGGGTCAATATGTCACTATGGGGGAGGGGGGTCAGCAGGAAAGAGGATGTATAATATGTTCCTAAAGGCAAACTTAGCCTTTAATCACTTCCCATCCACCCATAGTCTATAGACGACAGACGGGAAGATTTGCCAGTTCAGACTAACGTGCCTGCATGTCAGCCCGCATCGGCAGCTCACAGAGCATGCACCCGGGAGCCCAGCAATCGGTATAGCACCTTGAGACAACAGATCACATTATCGTTGTGTCCGGACAGTGATCACATTGTGTTTTACCATGGGATTGCTATGTCTAGTCACAACAATCATATAGTAAACACTAGAAAGTTAAACTAAAGATCAGCGTGAGAGCAGAAAGAAGTGATCTTGCAGCCTGTGAGTGTACAGCAGCCTATCAGGCTACTTGTACACTCACAGACTGCAGTGCCAGCCAGCCACAATGTCCCTGCTCAGTGCCCCAGTGTAGGGAAAATAAATAATGCAGCCAGCCCCTGTCACCTATCCCAGTTTGAACAAAAACACCACCATACACCATATCAGTGTCCTGATCACCGCCATACCCCAAACCAATGCCCTGATCACCACCGTACCCCATACCGACACTCTGATCACCGCCATACACCATACCCTGATCACCGCCATACACCATACCACCCTCCCTGATCACTGCCATACACCATACCACTGCCCTGATCACCGCCATACCCCATACCGACACTCTGATCACCGCCATACACCATACCAGCACCCTGATCACTGCCATACACCATACCACTGCCTTGATCACCGCCATACCCCATACCAGCATCCTGTTCACTGTCATACCCCATACCAGCATTCTGATCACCACCATGCCCCATACCAGCATCCTGATCACTGTCATACCCCATACCAGCATCCTGATCACAACCATGCCCCATACCAGCATCCTGATCACAACCATGCCCCATACCAGCATCCTGATCACCCCATATCCCATACCAGCATTCTAATCACTGCCTTATCCCAACCATCATCCTGGTCACAGCCATACCCCATACTAGTGTCCTGATCAATGCTATACATCCTGATCACTGCCATACATCATACCAGTGTCCAGCATTTTAGGGTCTCAACTGATCAATTTTCAAATATATATCCCATAGTTTGTAGACTCTATAGCTTTCAAACAAACTAAATAATATACACTATATTGGGTTCTTTTCACCTGAAAAATGTAGCAGAATACATTTTGGCCTACATTTATGAAGAAAAATGATTTATTATTATAACAAAATAGCATGTACAACACTTTGTAAAGATTACAAGCGTATCCAGCGCTCAGATGTTGATAGAATGTGGCAAAGGTAATGAATAAGTAAACCAGTCCATGTGAATAATAAATGGTATCAATAAACACAATACAATGTAACAAAAACTTGCAAAGATGCAGAGGAAGATGTGTGTCAAACGGTCAATCCCTCCACATAGTGGTTAATGAAGAAAGGTGTGGGTGATGAGGACTAGGCACACATAATCACCGGCAGCTCCTCGTAAAGGATTGGGGAATCCTTCAGGTAACATACAAAGTAAATGCACAGCAAGACGCTAGGTGAACATGAGTAAAAACAACTGAACTTTATTTAAGAAGCACGTACATGTGAATGTTCCACAAGCAACATCCTAATACGGTGCAGTGGTCAATGACAGCTCTCTTCAGAAAAGTGAAGCCTGCAATCCCTGCAGAAAGTGGGAAGAGACTCGCTTGAGATGGAGATGCAAGGTGTCCCTCTGTGCGCTCCCGAAGAATGACCGAGGTGTGTGACAGGTGCTGTGGATGACAGGTGGGTGGGTCCAGCAGAGACCCCCATACATCAGAGTCCCCCCCCTTACATCAGTGTCCCCAGAGAGCCACCACCTTACATCAGAGTCTGCAGAGTCCCACTTTACATTTAGAGTCTGGTAGAGTGTCCCCTTACATTAGAGTCCTGGTAGAGTGTCCCCTTACATCAGAGTCTGGCAGAATGCCCCCATACATCAGAGCCGGACAGAGTGCCCTCTTACATCATGACCCAAAATAGAGACCCCTTTACATCAGAATCCAGCAGAGTACCCCCTTACATCAGAATCCAGCAGACTGTCCCTTTACATCAGAATCCTGCGGAGTGCCTCCTTACATCAGAGTTCAGCTGTCCCTAAGTTCTAACTGGACATTAAATGAACTGGACACGTTTGTGAAGCTCCTGGAAGAACGGAGAGAAGGGAGGGGGATGGGGAGAGTTTAGTCTGAGTGCAGAGCTCACTTACCCTAGGCTGGTCTCTGCAGGCTCAGTCATACAGCCATATGGATCTTCAGATTTCCCACCCACACATCCCTTTTCTCTGGCACAATGTCCACAGGGCAGGCTGTTGCCTGGGGCAGGGTGCAGGCCCCCATGGCAGGGGGTAGGGCTTTTAGCGCTAGAAGTGCTTAGTAGGGAGTTGGGGTGAGGGTGTACTTTGCAAGTAACATATAATTCCATATGATCAGTGTTAAAGAAGTCTGTATCAAGTGTGTGAATAATTCTCCTTATATTGGTGTCAGTGAGAAGAATGTCCCTTACATTGGTGTCAGTGGGATGAATTCTCTTTACAATGGTGTCAGTGTGAAGAATGCCCTTTACATTGGTGTAATTGAGAATAATTCTCCTTACATTGGTGTCAGTGGGAAGAATTTCCTTTACATTGGTGCCAGTACTAGTCAAGCAGAAATTTTCCTAGAGGCTGATTGTACAGAAGCCGGTCAGTTGATTGACTTCTGTCCAACCAACCTGCCCATACATGGATTGAAATATGTCAAGTCCCTGCTGAACCAGCCAAATTTCGATCCATGTATGGCCACCTAAGACAAAAATATCCTTTTTGTGTGCATAAAAACAAATGCAACAGAAATGTTTAACCACTTCCTATCCGCCCTATAGCAGAAGTACTGCCACAGGGAGGCACGTGTGCACAAAATCACATATATATACGTGATTTTTTGCATTTCCAGCCTTGGCTGTCAATCACAGGGTCCCAGCCAGTGATTACCGGTATATATATAAAGTGATAATCTTCGGGATAGCTGAAAAAACTCTTATTACTGTGAGATAAAATGTCAGAATTGTGATATAATATCTCAAAATTTTTAGAATGTTTTGGACCTCTGAGGTATTTCCAATTCTGTCACATTATCTCAGATTAATGCAAAAAGAGATAATATGTAATCTCTGAAGGAATATTTGAGAGATAACATTTCATATTTGGAAATATGTTACAATTTTGATACAATATCTTGGAATTCTGAGATATCATGGAGTATTTAGATATTTATCACAATTCAGAGGTTTTATCTTAGAATTCTGACATATTATCTCAGAGAGCTCTTGTCACGCATATCTGATAAAGTGCCCTTGAGAACCTAAGAGCAATAATCCTAAACTATAA